AAAGTTTCTCTCTAACTACGGTAGTTTTCAAGATAATAGGCAAACATAAAAAAAATAGTTAAATTCGTCATTTAAGTGCAATAACTCCTATAATAAAATGCTCCGCTGGGGCGCAGCTTGATACGACCGCAGAGGTCGAACCCTGAACAGTTGGGGCAAGTATGGACACAACATTCAAGCTTGATACAGCACTGAATTTGGATTGTAATTAAATATTTGACAAGCAGCATAGGTTTCTCACACAGAATGAAAGTGGTCTAAGAACTTAAAAAAATTTAATTTACCTATTCAAACCATATCATTATTATTTGCTTTTATATATAAATCAGAAATAACCAATTTAAAATGGAAAATTTTAAAGAAAATAAACAGCTGCGCCATGAGCGCATGATACGCCCGTCGTCTTGTGTGTGAATTTTTATGCAATAAGCATAAATAGTTTCTGACATACGACGTGACATGCGAAAACCCCCTTTTTTTACAAAAAACTCAATATCTCTAAAATAAAATTTTGAATCAAAACCAAAAAGTAAACAGATCTTTAGATTAATATAACTAAGAAGTGTGTAAAATTTTAAGCAATAATCATAAATCGTTTTTGAGATACGGCGCGACATGTGAAAACCCCCCCTTTAAAAAAAAAAAAAAATCAATATCTCAAAAATAAAATTTTGAATCAAAACCAAAAAGAATACAGATCTTTAAATTAATATAACTAAGAAGTGTGTAAAATTTTAAGCAATAATGATAAATCGTTTTTGAGATACGGTGCGACATGTGAAAAACCCCTCCCCCTTTTTTTACAAAATACTCAATAACTCAAAAATAAAATTTTGAATCATCACCAAAAAGTATACAGATCTTAAGGTTAATATAACTAAGAAGTGTGTAAAGTTTTAAGCAATAATCATAAACTGTTTTTGAGATACGGCAGGACATGTGAAAAACCCCTCCCCCTTTTTTAACAAAATACTCAATATCTCTAAAATAAAATTTTGAATCATCACCAAAAAGTATACAGATCTTAAGATTAATATAACTAAGAAGTGTGTAAAGTTTTAAGCAATAATCATAAATTGTTTTTGAGATACGGCGCAACATGTGAAAAAAAACACACACCTGTTTGAGTTACTAAGTCCCGTACTCAAAAAGTTTTAATCTTATTTTCACCAAAAAGTATACAGATCTTTTGACCATCATAAGAAACAACTATGTAAAGTTTCATGAAATTTGGATAAGTCATTCTCAAGTTACGGTGCGACATGTTTACACCGGACAGACAGACGGACAGACAGACGGACGGACGCCGGACATTTGTATACCATAATACTTCCCGTCAAAAATTTGACGGGCGTATAAAAAAGGAAAAAAAAATCCCCCCCCCCCCCCCAATTTTTTGAACCCCCTTATGATTCATCAACCCCAAACTCAATCCCAGCTTTCCCTTTGTGGTATGGTACCTTGCAGTACAATTTCAGAGAGATCCATACACTTGAACACAAGTTATTGTCTGGAATCTAGAAAAATGCTTGTTTTTTGGCCCCTTTTTGGCCCCAAATTCCTAAACGTTTAAGGCAATTACCCCCAAACTAAAACCCAGCTTTCCCTTTGTGATATGGAACCTTGCAGTACAATTTCATAAAGATCCATACACTTACACACAAGTTATTGTCCTGAAACTAGAAAAATGCTTTTTTTTCCCCCTTTTATGGACCCTAATTACTAAAATTTTGAGGGAATTACCCCCAAAATCAATCCCAGCCTTCCCTTTGTGGTATGGTACCTTGCAGTACAATTTCAGAGAGATCCATAAACTTGAACACAAGTTATTGTCTGGAAACTAGAAAAATGCTTATTTTTGGCCCCTTATTCCTAACCTTTTTGGGCAATTACCCCCAAACTCAATTCCAGCTTTCCCTTTGTGATATGGAACCTTGTAGTTCAATTTCATAAAGATCCATACACTTACACACAAGTTATTGTCATGAAACTAGAAAAAAATGCTTGTTTTTTGCCCCTTTTTGGCCCTAATTCCTAAAATTTGGAGGCAATTACCCCCAAATTCAATCCCAGCATTCCCTTTGTGATATTGAACCTTGTGATACAATGTCAGAGAGATCCATACACTTACACACAAGTTATTGTCATGAAACTAGAAAAATGCTTGTTTTTTGCCCCTTTTTGGCCCCTAATTCCTAAAATTTGGAGGCAATTACCCCCTAAATCAATCCCTGGCATTCCCTTTGTGATATGGAACCTTGTGGTACAATGTCAGAGAGATCCATACACTTACACACAAGTTATGTCTGGAAGTTACAAAAATGCTTATTTTTGGCCCCTTTTTGGCCCCTAATTCCTTAACTGTTGGTAGGTCGTATAAAAACTCGCCTTACAGTTTTGATGTAAATGGACAGTAAGCAGTACTTTAAACATTTTTGCTGTCAGATATTTTCAATGTATAGCAGTTTTCAAGGTAGTAGAAAAAACTTGCATTTTACACAATTTTCCCATTTTTAGCCATGTCGACCTTTTTGCTGGCATAGAACACATTTTTTCCTAACTATATACCCCAATAATGATTGTGGCCAAGTTTGGTTCCAATTGGCCCAGTAGTTCTAGAGGAAATTTATGTAAAAGTTAAAGGATGATGGACAGCAAATCAGGTGAGCCAACAACTGAACCTCTCATCCAAAGAGATGTTGTTGTGATATAGGTATAACAAATATCTTCATGGATAGTTAATGTTTGTACAGTTAGCTTCCTCTAGTGTTTTATTATCTAAAAGTTTTGTTTTGTAAGATGATAGAAATTTTTCAACGTATGGATCAGGATTTAAATCATTAAAGGATCATAAATTAAATTCTTTTCTGATGATATTTGTATACCGGGTACTACGTAGCCTCATAGAGTTGTTAATCAGGAACCTCATTTTGGAGGAAGTTTGTTTGTAAATCAAAATGTTTTTATAAGAATTGAAATTAATTTTTTTATAAAGATTTGCAGGCTGTTCCAATTGGTTGCATTTTATCTGTTTAAAATACCTGCTCTAAGATGGATGGATGGATAACGTCTAGTGGCAAATCAAATGCATATTCAGGACGAGAACATGATAATGTGATATGAATATAAATATAAAGTCTACTTTGTACTAAAATAACATGTTGAGCTTGATTTTTATGTGATAGTTCACAAGGTAACAGTCATAATAAAATGCTTCGCTGAACGCAGCCTGATACGACCGCAGAGGTCGAACCCTGAACAGTTTGGGCAAGTTTGGACACAATATTCAAGCTTGATACTGTCTGAATTTGGATTGTGATCAAATTTTTGACATAATATATGTTGCTGACACAAAATAAATGTGAAATTGGTTCAGTAGTTTCAGAGAAGAAGATTTTTTTAGAGTAAACAAATTGTGTAAAATTGTCCTTAAAGGGCAATAACTCCTTAAGAGGGTCAATTGACAATTTTGATCATATGAACTTATTTGTAGATTTTACCTTGCTGAACATTTTTGCTGTTCACAGTTTATCATTATCATTAATAATATTCATAAAATAAAAGTCTTAAAATAGAAAATTACATACATAATCATAGCTAAAATTAATTTACCTTAATCAGAATTTTTAAAATTATTAAAATAGTAACTTCTAAAAATGAATTGACAGCTAATCACCTCAAGACAATACAAAAATTCTGTATACATAATTTAAAAGCAGTGTAAGGGAGGTAATTCAAAGTTGAGTTTGAATTACCTCCCTCACACTGTAATTTGTACTTGTCCATTAACCAGGACATCCTTGTTTTTTCTCACTTTTTTGCCCCTAATTCCTAAACGGTTTAAGCCATAACCCCCCAAAGCCAATCCTAACCATCCCTTAGTGGTATGGAAACTTGTGGTATAATTTCAGAGATCCATACACTGTTCCACAAGTTATTGTCATGAAACTAGAAAAATGCTTATTTGGGCCCCTTTTTGGCACCTAATTCCTAAACTGTTGGGACCATAACCCCCAAAATCAATCCCAACCTTCCTTTTGTGGTTATAAACCTTGTGTTTAAATTTCATAGATTTCTATTTACTAATACTAAAGTTATTGTCCGGAAACCAAGTGTCTTCAGACAACGAAGACGTGATACCAATATACGACCTCAAAATTTTTTGCGGTGGTATAAAAATTGCAAAATTTCCTTAAAATTACCAATTTAGTGGCAGCAACCCAACAATGGGTTATCAGATTCAACTGAAAATTTCAAGCTGATAGAACTTCACCACATGAACACTTTAAACCCATGTCAGATTAGCTCTAAATGCTTTGGTTTTTGAGATATAAGCCAAAAACTGCATTTTACCCCTATGTTCTATTTTTAGCCATGGCGGTCATGTTATTTGACGAAACAGTAAATAAAACACAAACTTTATTCTAGATACCCTAAGCATCATTCAGCTTAAGTTTGGTTGGAATTGGTTCAGTAGTTTCAGAGGAGAAGATGTTTGAAATAGTTTACACCAGACGGACAACGACGGACGCCAAGTGATGGCAAAAGCTCACCGTTCCTTCGGAACGGTGACCTTAAAAGACATGTCATCCTACCCAATCTCATTATTCTGACTTAGAGCTGCCAGTCTTTGCTCTTACTCCTAACTGTTGCATGCTTAGCTGAGAAGCTGTATACCAATTTTCAAGTCTTTGGTTTGACAAGGACAGGTACTAAGTCAAGGTGAGCAAACTACCAGAGACCACTGAGGCAGTAACACCTCTTTTCTGTAAACAAATCAGTAGTGATGGATTGAAAATAACCTTGGTCACATTACCATTTAGTTACAAAGTCAAAAGATGTTGCAATATATTAATTTTATATATTTGATTTAGACATCAGAAATATAATACAGACACAATGGTGATATAATGTTGCCTCTGAATGATTTCTACTGAACACTGCTGATCAAGGTAGTGAATCCAGATTTTATGTTGTTTTTGATTACAAAAAACATTACATTCACGTTTAATATGTTTATTGCAATTATAATTTTGTATGAAATAAATAGAGTGGTCAGACAATACATGAAATTATACATGTTCAAAATTAGTTCTTATTTATATAACAAATAACAATATATATATAAAGATTATTAACAAAATAATGTCTACATTTCTATAGTACATTTCCATAACAAAAACAATATCTATTTTCAGTTATAATCATTAATTTGTAAAAAGGCTCTAGCAATCTTTCTACAATAATAACATATAATTCTCTCTTTTAATGCTCAAAGGATAACTCTTTTTCATAATAGTATGTTCAAAGTAAAAAATATAATTTCAAAATAATTCTGTAAATTTGTCTTACCATTCTTTAATAATTCTGCGATCTGTTCTTAAAAGAACCTTCATTCCCTAATGTTTTACAGTTTCAGTGGGTTTTTTCTTCAGTAATTACCATTTACATATATACCAATTTTTCTAAGATGGCCTATCTGTATTATTTCTACCTCTTATAATAAAATTCTAAATTATTAAGGAGGTTCATATCGATATTATTACATTTTCTATTAAGTTTATTCATTAAGCCCCCCCCTTTTCATCCTTTTTATTTTAATACATTCTCCATTACACTAATTGGTTGTTTGATCTCTCTAAAACATTAATTGTACCTTACCAAACAGCTCTCATTTAAATATTTTACATATCTAATATTTGTTTTGACATCCCTAATACACAATAATTATAACTGAAAAATAAAATCTAAATTATTACCTATGCCTATATATACAAAATTGTGCAAACAAGCCAACATGGCCTAATTTGTTTATACATAACAAGTGGTGTCTACAACAGAGAAGCACCTACTAATGATTCAGAGCACAGAGCATATACAAGCTCCTCACAATACACAGAGCATTTACAAGCTCCCTACAATACACAGAGCATATACGAGCTCCTTGTAATACACAAGCATTTACAAGCTTCCTTGCAATAGACAGAGCATATTAGATAAGCATTAACTGGAACATGTTAATCAAATATGTTAACTTAGAGAACAGTACAATACTGTCAATTTACATCTAGTAAAATATATATTTGTTATTGGAATGGCCTCCGATTTATTATTCACTTCCTCAGCATTTTCAAGATTGTTGGAATTATTTATCCTCTCAAAATGGCTCCTGGTACAAAATGATTTTTTGTAGTTAAATTAATGAAAAACTCTTCAAAACACACAGCCAAGAAAACAGCACTTGATAACTTAGCACTTGAATTTCATCTTTGTAGAAGAATTTTAGCAATTTATAGAAACCAAAGTACATGTACTAATGTCTAACAATAAGTAACTTTGTATGACGAAACAATATTTCATTAAAATTCATGTAGGAGTGAAAAGCAAAATTAGAAGTTAGTTTCATTTATATTTACGGTTAACGGATACCAAGTTATTTTCTCAAGGAACATATTTTCTAATCCCGACCTTTCCACTATATTTTAACAACATTTTTAATTGTTATATAGTAAAATAGAGAAATCTCATCTAAGCCAAACATCATTTAAATAGGAAACCTGGCTAAACTGACTCGTATTTCAGGACAAACAATGAATATTCATTAAAATTTAAGCTATAGCAATTATTCTATAGCCAAATTTACCATAAACATGGTCTTCATCCTGCGTAGAATTTCATGTGTATTCTTTGAGGATGAAATAGTACACTGTACAGATCCAGGTCTAAAATGTATGTGAAGTTGGGCTTGTAAATGAAATGACATAAAATCAATGAATATAAGTTAAAAAATCAAGTTCATTTTTCACCTATTTAAAAGAAATCTACTTGTAGCAAAACATGTATAGCTTACCTAGCACTAGAGGTTCAGTATATTTGAATGTAGCATGCAGGATGTAAAAATCAGTCATTGTAAATGTACATTTCACAATAATTTGTATGATTTTCCAGCAACTGATAACATCAGTTATTGAACTATCCTTTTACAATATATTCAGAGACGTATAACCTCAGACTTGAACCAAAAAAAAAAAAAAAGAAAAAAAAATTGTCTCCCCTTTGTACCTTGGTAATGTTCCCATTAAAACTAGCACTGGCCATGAAAGATGTCTATAATGACATTTTTTTCATCTACATGTTACAATATGTTTGATTAACTATGCAAGAAAGACATTCTACAATACATTGCTAATAAAAAAGCAATAACATGAATATTTTGGCACAAGCTTTCACTTGTCAAGTTTACAACAAATGGTGGCAAGGTATAAACCTTTCAAAAGTACTTTTATTTTAAAGTCTATATAGAGTATAAACTGTAAGATAGTAAAAGTTAGGAAAATGTCAACGTTTACATCTAAACAATAAACTATTAACAAACCCTGACAAACAATAACACTAATATTTGCATATATTCACTAACCTATTAAAGGCTTGACTAAAAATTCTTGAGTAATCAGATTTTACAAACCATTTGTGTTTGAACTGCTTCTTAGAATAACATGCATTCAAATTATCATCATGCAATTCAAGGGTTTTCACATCTAAAGAAATTTAATGTATTTTTGCATTTGTTTTTCAAAAATGTTTCCCAAATTAAGAATTAAATGCAAATAAGGCTGTTTTAAAATGACAATTTGTGGAAATTACAATGAAGTATAAAGAAGTTTGAAAGATAGGTTGAACTGTATCTTCATCTACTCAAGATTAAAATTTTAGAAAAGCCATTTTATGATAGTTATATTTTTATCTACAGTCAAGTGCTTTCCTATTGTGATCGATCTCCTGTTCTACAAGTTTTCTCATGTCCTGGTTAATTTGAATATAGAAAATTTTCACAACACGTTTTTCCAGCTTATTTCTAATAAGTATTAAATAAAGTATTATCCTTTACTCAAAGGTTTTATTGTACAAACAAATTAAAGAAATCAACAAACATCATAGAAAATGAATGTACTTAAAATTTTGTTAAGAGGTGTTGAAAAAAAATCCCAATTTACCATATAAACACTAAAATTTGATGACCATCACTACAAGGGAGAAACATACAATAAAAGAAAACTATATATAAATGAAACTGATAATTGTGTATAAACATATTATTTTTATATCTATATCATTATATATGGAATGTTACAACTTTCACTCAATATACTTGATGGATTTCTACAAAATTAACTTGCAGACAATAATCCTTTAAAACCTCTGATATTGTAAGAAAATACACCAGCAGACAAAATCTAGATGTATGAATAATTAGAAGCCATTCTCTATTTTGTCATGAAGAACACATAATAATCAACTTTATTATTTCTATTGTTTAATGGAGATTTTTAAAACTATGATATGCTAGAATGACCATGATATATAAATGGTATAGTGATTTAAGGGGCCTGCCCTTTGATAATATAAGCAGGGTCAAAATAAAATATATATTCAAGATCTACTTAGAGGTAGAGCTGTTGGCAAAATACCCAGTAAATTGAACAAAAATATCATGTAATACATGTGTGCTTTTAAGATTTTTATCATTACCATTAATATATATTTCCATCTGGTCCATATACAAATATATTTTGTTTTGCATTGAACTGAAGCATGGATATTGGGTGTTTTTTAAGTAGCACAATTAGCAATAACATTCCAGTTATAGTATTAATCTAAATATTTTGTTTTGATTTCTGTTTTTAAGACAAATTTGATAAATATAGCAAAATAGAAATCAGTTTCTTATCTATAATCAGAGTTTAGATCATGTTCAAAATGATGTGCATAAAAGTACTTTGCAGCCAGAAATAAATCAAAGCTTAAAAAATCAGAAATATTACACCTTTATAAAATTTCCCCATTATAAAAATAAGAAAGCATGCATGGCAAAAGAAAAGATATTTGCATAAAAAAAATTAGACAAACAGACAAAATGACTAATTCATTTACATATGATTTCTTTTCTCAAACGATTACATCTGAAAGGTGTTTAGAAGGAATGATTAAATTAAATGATATATAATACAGTGATATATGAGTATTAATGACATGCATATAAATGATACTTTATCTTAAATTTACAATGTTTGATCAAATTAATTGCACTTAGCTATATCTTCAGAAAAAATACATTTTGTAATACAGATTTTTTAGTAAAACTATGTACTGTAAAGAGCTATATTTGCAATTTTTCTAATGCACAATCTTATGGTGTGGTTAAAAATTCGATATTTTTGATGTTCTTTTCCATATATAGCAAATTTATCATGAAATTAGCAAAAAATTAAACCTCTTTAAAAAATTTCTACTTTTCAGTAATTTTTCTCGTAATCATTAAAATCACTGTAATCAATACCTTTATAATACTAATGATGGTCCATTAAAATATACTCAGTACAATGTAATGTTTATTTACCTAAAATAGTGCTAATAACAAAATTAAACTAACTTTGAATCATATAATTACTAACTTCAGAACATCATATGAGCTGTGTTGGATAGAAATCGACCTTATGCAAGTGCATGTATACATGTACATGTATAAGACTTTGATTGATTTTGGATCATTCAAATACGAAATGAAAGATATATTTTGGTCTGTTTTGTGCACTTTCTTAATTAACAGCTCATTTTTCAAACAGTTACAGACTTTCCATAGAGATTGTTTGACCCGAAAAAGGTTAACAGATGTATTGATATTCATTTGCATCATAAGGTCTATTTCTATCCGACACAGCTCATATGTTTATCAATCTTATCTACCACTTTTTACTATGATTAACTATGGGTAAGCATTTTGCATGCAAAACAAAGGTAGTTAAAATATGCATATTGTGATCTTAACAGAACAGAATATTAACCTGGTTTTTACTATAACATTATAAAGTGCTTTAGTGAGATTGGCAATAACATTTCCAGGTTGTTTTTTTTTTTATAATAATATCAATATTTTAGGCTACTTTCCCCCCCAACAAATTTTAACAAAATTACAAAACATAATAATACACAACAATAAATTTTACAAATAATATATCTATCTGTTTCTATAGGAAGCACAATGATCAACATAATGGACTAGCAAACATTTTCTGCTATTCACAATTCTTTTAAACTAAATACCAATAAAATTTATATCTTAATTTCATTTTAATTTAATCTCTTAACAACAGATGGCTTCATACAATTTTTTCACAACCATGTTGCCAACCATTATAATCCTTGTTTCTGAATACACATATTTCTATATATCTAATATATTCATTGTAGAATATAACACACAAGTTATTTCCCTTTGATCATAGTTCACTGACAGGTTTGACATAATTAGCAGGATAAAGTTTTTCTTCACCATCCTTCCGTCCTTTACACCATCCTAACTCATCTTCTTCGCTCAATTTGTAAAATTCTTCACCTGTAATATTATTATGGTACATGTATAATTTAGCAGCATTCTATCACAAGTGGTCTTATTTATTATATTGAAATACGGCCCTTAGTTACACTTTTTATTATAACATAACTCTTTTCTGTGATACTTGCGCCAGTAGGATTAGCTTTATGTAATGTCTTTTTACTGTACTTGTTTGGCATATGACTATTTGTGTATTGCATATAATTGTCAAAATAGCAGATCATCACTTGGAGAAGAATGATGCAGATTTTGAAATAATTGTGAAGCAAGAAGTTGTTTTAAATGCATCTGGACTATTAGACACACCTAATCAATTAGTATCAAGGTGTAAATTTTCAGTTGGAAGTCAAGGAAAAGGTGGGAAAAGTATCAAGATTTAAAATAAACAAGTTATTTCACATGTGAGATTATCAAAATTTATCACGATGGGAAATTCACACAAATCACCGTCATCTATATAATAATAGAAAACCATATATAAAACTATCAAAATATACTGAATGTAACTGTGATGGCACTTATCTGTGTGAACACCACTTTGGTGTATGCATACAGAAATTGAAATAAATCAATGGCATAAATCAATATACTCTGTTGACACTGAGAATACTAACCACATTTGAAACTGAACTCATCTTGCTCAACAGCTTCATAATCAAACACAGCTCTAACAAGGACAGGGTCAGCTAGCCGAGGGGATTCTTTCGGTGATTCTTCCGAACATGTGTCCTCATTACCAAAAGGATTTGAATCTTCCTCCTGGTATGTCCGACCATTGTATGTTGGTTCAGTTGGTTGATCTAGTTCCGGTTCTGGTTCATAGCTTGTCTGTGGGTAAGATGATCTCTGGTTGTTTCTGGAAGTAGATAATTGTAAATGGTTGTAAATGGTTGTAAGAAGATAAAATTGAATAATACAATTTTATTTAATAAGTGCAAATAGCATTGTTATATTGGATTAAAAGGACATTTGAAATTATCTGATCAACAACTTATTATAAATTCAAAGATTTTTCAAAATGATGAAATATATATGTTACAGCTGACTCTTTTTCAATTGGAGTTGGTAAAAGCAACACACCATTGGTATAAATAACATTTTCAGTATCTAACTCTGCATTACATTAAGTTAGGATTTTACTATATTATGATTGCTTGATTGTTGAGTGCTTAACATCAGTGACCATTCTTTACTGTAATAATATTGTCTCTTATATACTATAGCCTTTAGAGCTTGATCAGATACATGCTTGCCAGATTAGAGATATTTCTAAGAGAACAGGAGATAATTATAAGATCCATGCAATGAAGTTATAATAGTTGAAGCAGTTTAACACTTCATCACCAGTTAATTTTGTCACATCTATTTTTTGTGAAATTTATTTTTTGTGAAATTTGGGATCAAACAAACTAGAATTAAATGGATAAAGCATGAACTATATCACTTAAACATTTTTTTTTGTGAATCCAGACATTTTTGTATTCTAATAAAAATGTATATATGATTAAAACATCAAACTATCTGTTATTAATCTATGCATTCCTTTTATTAGTTATTTACATGTACAATGCTATTTATATTAGTATCAAGGAAATATTTGGAAGAAAAGCTAATATAAGGGGTTCTGCTGCAACAGATCTTTAATTATATATTTGAATGCACAGGTAATGAAATCTGTGCCTGAAAATATAAGTTGTCAGTCAATAAAAGTACAGTTAAACCTGTATATAAAGGTCACCCTTGTGGTTAAACAAAACTGACCTTATTAGAGTGGTGACCTTCGAGTTAAGGTTCAAATTGCAAGCTAAAGTATAACTTCAGAGGGGAAAGATGACTGGCCAAAATAAGTTTTTGCTTCATAGAGGTGACCTTTATAGCAGGTTTGATTATACATCTTCTTAACCATTAGTTAACAATGTTCATCAAAATAAATTCTATATTAAAACTTAAATAAGCATAATGGTACATTTGATTTGTAAAATACAATTTTATATAGGAAATGAGAAAAATAGTGAGCCACCAAAACTGAGTTCGTAGTTCAGTATTCGTATTAACCAATGGTTTAGACAAACGTAAAAATGCATAAAATATTTAAACATAAATATTGTACAAACATTGCTGAAGTTCAAAATCTGCTGGCAACATTCTGTTAAAAAATAATAAACAGTTGCAAAATCAACTAGTATTTCATGCTCTGAAACATGGCAAATCTGGATACCATAGAACACAACATGCCAGGCAATGGAAATCAGGAAAACGAACATTCAAAAGCTGTTAGAACAGTAGTAGGCATACGTCAGGTGGATTACTTTTCATCATCCACTTTGTCATTTTCATCTTCATCATCATCACCAAATGGATTTAATGTTTCATCATATTCCACTTTCTGTTGTATACTGCTGCTGGACTGGTTCCTTATAAGTGTCCTCTTAGCAGGTGTTGGAGGAGACCGGTTCTGTCCTTCTGGTATTGGTCTGGTTTCATTTTTATCAACCAATGGACTTGGTGCACCCTCTGGTATTGTTCTATTTTCTGACTGTTTACTGAGTGATGGACTTCGCTGTGGTTTTAGAGGTCCCACAGAGGGATTTCTAGGTAAGATAATACCTATGGAATTTTTCCTGATAAAAAATTCAGTTTATGAGGCAGATACTTTAAGAATACTTTACAAATTAATAATTCTAATTTCTAATCAATGTATTACTCTACAACTCTTCTTATTGGTGACTAAAAGTTGCTAAAAGTTTGACCTACTTTGAGACAACTAATGGGGTTATTTTCAAAAATGCTACAAAGCCATTTCTGTAATGGAATATCATCCACCATGAGTAGAAGACCATAATTAGAAAAAATTTCCATACCATCAAATATTTCTAATTACAATAAATTGCCTAAAGTACAAATATCATAAAAATTGACTGACCTGGCATTATCACTATCATTTGTTTTGGTAGAACTCTGACGGTCATAACCTCCAGCATGTGGTGAAGCTGGTGCAAAGTCTCCCTTGTGTCTAATGCTTGTTATCGTTATACCATCATTAGTATGTAATTGGGACTTCCTTTCTTTCTTTGAAATGGATTGCAGATCTGGTGAATATTCCTACAAATAAATAATGATGACTCTTAATTAATAAAAAAAATCTAGTAGTATACTGGTTTGACTCAAATAATTCTGCAAATACAAGACAGAAATATTCATTAATGTTTATATACCCATGGGTGTTAAAAATGAAAACCAGAAAAATATATATTCAGATAAAGAAATGAAATAGGAGGTGCAATAGATATGTGATTAAGAACATTTCAAATAATTTTGTCAAGCAGTTTAGGAGAAAATTCTGATAAAAAGAGGGACAGAAGGATGAACGGATGAACTGACAGAAGGATGGACAAAACCAATCACTATACTGTGTACACTGCCGCCTAGAAAGCGAGGGTATAATCCATAAATATATAATTAGAATGATTTTATACTCTCAGAAAACTGTTCAATAGTATACATTTTACACGTTAGGTCTTTCAGGATTTACCTTAGGCAATGCTATGAATTGAACAGAACAATTACTGTTAAAAATAAACAGATTTTTTTATATCTACTGCATTTTTTTCATAAAATAATATTGTTTAATAACTCCTTAAGTGTATCTTGGGATGATAAGTTTTTACTTAGAATCCAAGCTAGAATATAAATGATTTCAACTGTTTTTACCTCAAACTGTGGCCAGTTCATTGCCATATCTGAACCATTATTGTGTGACCACCATCTTAAATCTTGATCTGAATCAGTTTTACCTATAACATTGTGGAGATCTGTATAAATTTGTGGAAACCTGAAAACACAATACAAAATTAAATCTTTTTCCATAGATAGTATGGTACAAATATATAGTGTATACTGTTACAAGTTGAGGTAGTACAACAGTATTTTTTTAATGCAACTGTTTGTGTTTGAAATGTTGTATCTTTGTTATCTGCTGAGATATTGATTGATTGATTGGTGCTTAACGACACTTTCAGCAGTATTGTGTTATTTCGTGGCGGTCAGTTTTTATTGGTGGAGGAAGCCAAAGTGCCCGGAGAGAACCACCAACCTTCGGTAGGAAAACTGACAATCCTTCATCTGCTGCGATATGTAGACGGATTAGCTAAGAATCAATGAACCACTGCTTTAATACACTGTTACTATTTATACAAAAGTGCCGTATTTGAAGTGAATTTTAATATTTTTGTAATTATAACTTTACGTTTACCAGCAAACAAGTAGTTATATTTTGCATAAGTAAACTCAGGTTACAAGTTTCAAACCCATATCTCAAGATTTTTGATATCATGTCTGATACAGAAAGATGGCTGCATTCATTTTTGATCTAAAGAAAGACCTTAATATATCATATAAATATTTTAAATTAATTATTTCAACTGGACCTCAGAAAAAATCTGAGATACAATTTTGTAGAATTAAGTATCTCTTAAGCTGACAACACAAATTTTAGAATAAGAATGGGTGTATGTTTTCAATTTTCTGACAAATATAGTCATTTAGAAATATGCAGGTAATGGTGGTTTTACAAACTTTTTGGGAAATGCTTCTTGGCTCTCGCTTTTATAATGTGTTACTTCATTTGTCTAAATATCTTTTAAATGATAGTTATAGATTTTCACAAAAACACAACCACACTACATTCTTATCAATTTATATGTCGTGCTAAGTTTATTGAATCAAAATTTAATCAGTTTCTACTTCTTTTTTACCTACTGTTAATTGAAACCATTGTTAATTCCAAGTTATATGTGGTAATTTGATTTAATCAACTAGTCAACAGGTCCATCTAAAAACCATAAAAAACAGAAAATAATGGCTGTATTCTGTTTGTTTTGTTCAAAGTTTTCAAACATGGCGTTTGTATGGTGAACAAATGACATATATAAGAAACTATAACAACAACATTTGTACTTTACTTGTCCTTTTCTTTCCTTACCTTGGGTCAACAGAAAGGTCTAAACACTGATGAAGATCATAAAATGTTGTTTTAAAAAACTCTATTCTCTTCTTCTCAAATTCTTGACATTTTTGGAAAATCTGCAAAGAAAAAGAAAAACGAAATGTAGCAGTTTGCAAAACTTCATTTTTATCTATCAGACATAGGACTGTCTGAGTGCAACCTATTGCAGGTCCTACAAAAAATGTGATGGTCCTTCATTTTTGAATTTGTAATAAAATATGTTTGAAATTTGAAAATGAGAAAATGAAACGAAAATACAAAAGAAAAAGCTTTTTTTTGTTAGACAAATATGTGTGCTTTTAAAAATTATAGTGTTGCTGGGTTAAGATTAAATATACTATTCTGTCAAAGCTGAGACAAAATAGTTGGATATCCACTTCCAAGGTTGAAATATGGAGATTATTTTTGTGGTTTCACCAAGTGTGGGCCTGGTATTATGTCGCTGTTTGCCTTTTGTAAGTTAATGAATAACCCTTTTTGTCAGTAAAATAACAGTTGGAGTGCAAAATATTAAAATGGCAGACCTGATGAAATTTTGGCAGTCAGAACCAACAGGTCAAGTTATAAAGTCAAATGATTTTGGCAAAGTCTGATGTAGAGTATACACTTCAAACTAAATACACATACAGATTCATTCATAATATATTTTTCTGATGTATACAGCATGATGTTATGATTTGTTGGACTTTCAATCTCATTATCAAACTGAAGTTGAGTAATAATCATAGGACCATATCAGTGAAAGCCATTGGAAGTGTCAAAGACATCAAATTCATGCCAACCTGGTATTTTCAGAAACTGCAAGTTACAAACAATTAATTCATTTCATTTCAGAAACGTATAATTCCTTTTCTGATGCAACACTGCAACATTCATTTTGGTTAGATAATGTCACAAATTTCAGCAGTTCAATTCCATGATTGATAGTTTGAAACTGTACATGAAACACAAGCACCAAAGTCATGAAAATGATTTCAAAATGTATAGTTTATGTGTTTCATTTCAGTTGCATTGGAATTCAGATAAAATAATTCAATTATCACGATTATTGTATTTGAAGCAGGCATTATTTTTTTTTTATTTAATGGATGCAAATATTCTTTAACTGTTTCTGCACATGGGTCAACAGTTAATACACCTTATAGCTATTTATTCCAATCCAGATAAGTTTTGTCGTTACACAACTTTTTCATGACGTCACAAATCAGTTGAAGCTAACTGGGGCCCTGTTTAAACAATACACCTTATCCCTATTTGTCCGCCATTGCTGGGCATCACAAAGGTTCCCGTAAATTTTGATGTCACAATAGAAAGTATTTGACGCCACAACGGAAACGTGATTGTTGCATGACATCAATAGTTCAAGCGGCGCAGATTTCCAAATAGTGATAAGGTCTATGTACTGTGCATAAAACTTTTATAAAAGAGAAATGTTTAAACAATCGTAAACACTTCAAACACAGCATTTTTATGACATTAATTTGTCTTTCAAAAAATTGGATCATAATCTATTAAAATTTTCAAAATGTTGACTTTCTGAACTTTTTTTTCCCACAGCTTATTACTGATGACCTTTGCTTTTACAACACTTGACCAAAACAGGAAGTTGTCTAAGTGACTGTTTTTTCTCAGACTGTTTTAAATAAGTTGAGGTGTATTCAATTTGCAAACATCAAATTGTAATCAAAACCAGCTGAACAACTATAATATCAGAAAAAGGACTTTTTCCTTTATTTTTTTAATTTTTAATAGCCTCGGTCAATTGACTGGAGATCATCTAAAACAAATCTGAGAGGAAGCAATGTTATGATTATTTGTATGTATATTTTGTTTATAGTACTGGCAGCCTTGTTATTCAAAAGGTGGTTGTAATAACAACCATCTCGAATAAAATGTTTCCTACCTCTGTCATATCTTCTATATACTTGGCATTATAGTTGTTTATGTCATTCAGCGATGCCTCATACTTGTCTTTTAATCCTGCGACTTCCTGCTGACACTTCTGTAATCTTTCCTCCATTTTCTTTTTCTGTAAAAAAAAAGATGGACATCACTAATAACAGGTCTGACAAAAAAGATTTAAATACTATCAGGACAACTCTTGTTTTTTTTTTTAAAAAGACTTATGGTGCCGTACAGTGACATATAGTTGTTAACTTCTACATCATTTGTTCTCTGGTGGAGAGTTGTCTCATTGACAATCATACCACATTTTTCTATTCTGATAAATTAAGCTTTCTGTAAGAAATGGTTTTGTTAAATTTTTTACTGGAAAACAACTGTGAACTGTAAATGTGATACAAGTCAAAACTTTAATAAGACTTTTTCAAATCATTGTGTCCTGTTAACTTTGGCTTGAATTGGTCTAGCTGCTTCAGTGGTAAGAAGATTGTTTTTTCAAATGTTTGGATGATGACAGATGCAAATGATGACAACAGTGCACATTGGCATTAGTGGATAGTCATGATAGTAGAGCTTTTTTCAGAACAAATCACTGCAAGACAAATTTCTTTAGGAAAAAATTGATAACAAATTCTAAAGTTGATACACCTACAGTACATAAAACAAACTTAAATCCTATTTACATAAGATAGATCATTTCCTTAAAATCTCCATTCAGCTGTCTGTCGATTATTAGAATTGTTTCATCAATCTAGGGGATGACACCTTTCTATATGAAAGATCAATTAGGTATAGACATACCAAACAGATAAAACTATTTACAAGATAAATTGAAAGATAGAGACTTAGTTGTCAACATACTTGAAAGATACTTTATCAATACTATGTTATAATGCCAAACTAACTCCCAGCTTCTTACTTATGTCAAATCAATACCAAGACTCAAGAGAGATTTATTCATTCATTTTGTATTCGCAGTTCTGACTTCTTACTTTGCGATGATTAACAAAAAATTCTGCCTATGACTTTGTAAATTACACATACTAAAAAATGAAATTGATTAATTGTCAGTGTTTAAGGCCACTTTCAGCACTCTTGACTATATCACGGTGGTAAGTTTTTAGAGGTGGATAAAGCCAGAGTGCACAGAAAGAACCACCGACCTTAGGCAGGATATAAAATAGCATAGCTCTGAATGAATACATGACCTATATACATGTGAACTAAAATGTATACTTGTTTGATTTGCAGGTATTGGGCAAGAAGAGAGGAATGTGTCAAGGATGCAACTGTCAAACATTTCTCTTAATCAAATATTACAAATGTTCCTATAACCATATGGACTATAATGAATATATTTTGACCGTAAGATGTACTTTTTGTTGTATTGTGTTGTAACGTTGGTTTGCTGTCACATGTGAATTACTGCATTTGATAATATCTCCTTTTATAAGGTATAAAAATAAGGCATAAAATGGGAGTAAACACACATATAAGGTATTAAAGCATTTCATATGCATTCATATTACATGTACAATCTCTGCTATTATTCAAAGTGCCTCCCTATCTAGTTTTCAGGATAAAATAAATATATCAACAGATTACTCCTTGTGCATGGCATATGCACAATGTTGATCGAAACTGTCAATCGATATCATAAGTAAGTTTAGAAAGTGGCAACACTGTGTTTACCAAATGATGTGAAAAATGTTATCATTTTAAATACATGATTGAAAGTAGGGTAACAGGGATAAGCAAGTTATATTTCAACTCCAGTCAATATGAAAGAATGTGAGAAATTCAGTTGTTCTCACAGGTTAAACTGTAATTTAGACATTGTAACTAAAATTGAGATACAATTTCCATTTGTATTCATATACATAATGTAAATGAAACAGCAACTGTAAAGAAAATGAATGCCTATATCTCTTAAAGGTGAAGTTTACAATTCAGTGCAAGTTAAAATTTGATACTAAGGGATACCTATAAAATTTTCCATTATAAAATTTTCACATCTAATATATTTATATATCTGGTATGAAATCTCAGCAATCAAATATTGACAACCTCGTAAATTAAGGTTGACATCTTTTGTCTGCTTCTTACACTCAAAGTATATTGTAGTGGTGTATATATGTTTTGGACATGTACACATTCAAAATTTTCATACAAGAAACAAAACAAAAAAATCCATTAAAATTTTAAAACATATCAGTGCAAACATCAAAACTTTTTTGTGTTAAATTTCAGTAAATGAATACATATCCACAATTACATAGGAATATGATATCATATGGATTGTTTATATTTCATATCCATCTACCTGAATATTTCACCTGTCTATCCTAAAGGTAAATAGTATACCTGAATGGCTGTCCATTCAAGTGTGTACCGGCAAACAAGTTTTCTCATGGTCATTTTGTCAAATCCTAATTATATATGGTAATTTTCTGACCATCACTAATGTTAAGTATATGTAACATGAGACATTTGTCAGGCAGTGTGACACTCAATACTTGATTAACTATTTTAAATTAGATTTTCATTCTTCACACCAAAAAAATAATTTAAAAATGCCTTAGGACACTTTACACTCTACCCACCCATAAAAATTCTTATTTGACAAATAGACAAGAAGGTATCATTTCATTTTCAATTGTAGACCCCCAACTGAATGACTTGAGAATGTGTGATCAGTCACCTGACATTAAACTGTAAAGCAGACCAGTTCAAAATTAAATGGTTGTACTAAGGTCAATTCACACTGTAATACAATATAGATGTTTATCTTCCATATTTGAGTTTCTATCAAGAGTTAATTACCATTTAAAATAAGTATTGAGAAGATGTTAAACCCACATGTCTAACTACAAGATTAACAAGGCAAGATTTTGGTCAACATTACAAAAACCTGGTTAACAGAAAAACTCTTTAAATTAAGAGCACAAACTGTTGATGGTCATCGGTCCATATCTTTTCTGTGAATTTCAGCAGAAATATAAACTAAAGAAAAAGTTTTTATCTCAACTGTTATAACTATGATGTTTTCCATTAAAGATATCATGGCTTTGTCAAACTTTATATCATCAATTCCTGAACATCAAGCTAAGGTTTCATAAAGACTACATATAACTTTGATATGGCCAAGAAAACAAAACCACAATTCACAGATTACAAATAATCAGTCATTAATCAGATGTCTTTTACCAGTTTTCAGATGACACGACACAGATTCCCAATGAATACAAGTTTAAACTCATTGCCAATTTTGCAAAAATATTTTTGCTAAATGAACTTGACATTTACAGTCTAAAACATTTTTTTAAATAAAACTGGAATTCTTTGACTAACATATACATTTGACTGACTGATTTCTTGAGTTGAATGATACATTTTCTAAACATCAGTGCTAATACAGCAAGGTGAAATCTGAAATATCCAAGAAAACTACAAATTTGAAACAGTAATTGAATTTGTTTCTGGTATCAGAAGATTTTAGGGGTGTCACTAAAGCAAATGCTGCACTGTTTACCTATTTTAAACGCATATTACTTATTATTCTGCATCATTTTGTCTTATGCAAATGAGTATCTATCACAATTGTAATTGATACATTTTAATACCAACAAGAAAGATTGAGTTTCTTTTACAGGCTATAAAATTTCACAATAGATGTTTAAAATAGGTGAAGCAGAAAATATAAAGCCTAAGTTATTTACTACAGGTAAAAATTTAAAGGTAGTTCAATATTTATTGTGATAAATTACACCTTCCCAATATAATACACATAGTTCAGATACTTTATCTGTCCACAAAATAATGGCATTTGTGGATATGACCACACCTTACTTATGTCTGATAAGGTTTCAAAGATTAATATTAATATCAAATGACTTTGAAAACCTTGGCTGTAGTGGTTCATGAACTCTTAATACTGCATGACCTGAACAATTTTTCATCTGTCAACCAATTCCTCAATGAAAATCATTGATTTTTCTTAGCAGTATGTAAGAATAAATCTGGCTTCTCCAACAACAAACAAACTGTCATCAGCACAAACTTTATACTTTAGTACAGAATCTGATTACAACCCAATCATCAATCAATGACCATGATTTTTAACTTTTATCTAAACTTAAAAAAACTGTTGACACAGAGATATGTCTTGCCTGTCTGCAGAAAATTCAGACAAATAAAATCTGATCGTCAGCAGCATTGCTAATTAGTTCCGGAAAAGCAACACCTATAACTCACCTTCCTTGTGGGCGAGACAAAAACTGAACGAAAGCAATAAATCAACACTAAACTGTCTTACTTACTCTGTATATAATTCTGCATCCCTTTATTAAGAACAAACCACTTTTATTAGCAACTTTATAATAACAACATTTGAAAAATTGCTAATTAATTCAAAGTTGCTGGACCATGAACTAGAGGCAGGAACTCCAAATGGTCAACAAACTGAGAAGTACTGAAAGTAATGCAACTCAATAGAAAATATCATTGAGCAATCACATAGTTCCTATCAAGTTGATTAATTCAAAGTCACTGGACCATGACCTAGGGGACAGGGCCTCGAAATAGTCATCAAACTGATATGTACTGATATTAATGCAACTTTATAGAAAATATCATTGATATTTCACAAGTATTTCCTATTGTTGACGCTGCAGGAAAAGCAACACCTATGTCTGCGATTTTCATTGCAGGCGAGGCAAAACTCAACATATCATCATGTTTTCACTAATTTTGTCCTTCTTTAAGTAATTATGCTCTAACTCTCTTCTTTTAATAGTTTACCCACACATGCACAATGACATAAAAATGCATAAGATGAGAAGACCTCAAGTTTATGAATTTGCATAAACCAATTTTGTATTTAGTTCTTTTTATAATTTCAGATGTTATTTGTATCACTGATGTACATTGTCCATTGAAAATAGTTTTCTTTCATTTGTCAGAGCAAACATGTGTTATTTCTACTTTTCAAAAAATCTCTAAGAGAAAACACACTTTTATTTTTTGAATATTTGTGGTACAGGTGCAAGAGGTCCATCATGAATTAGCATTGAAATAATAACTTATTTACTACATTATCTTAGATTGAATGCTAATAAAATTTCTCACATTTAATCATAGCCTTCAATCTTGTATAATTCACTTTATCCCAAACCTAAAAATTCCAATTCCTTTGTTAAATCTATTATCTACCTGCCGAAGGGAAAAAATTTAAACATCCATTCATGGAAAAGAAAATTTCCCATTAAAAATAGACAAGAAGTATCAGGACCCATTGCTCGTGTTAGCCATCCTATTTTAAAACTTTACCAGGTCTACTGAAAATTCAGAAAAAAATGTTAATTTCCAAGGAAAACAAAAACAAAACTTTGTTAAGGCTTGTCACATCTACTGTTTATATATTATGTATTACCTGCTGGCTACAACAACATTCAGTGTCACCCTAATGAAAATGCAAATTACCTAATTATTCAAACTAATTACTAAAGGAATTTACCTAATTATTCATACTAATTACTTAAGGATGTCATAACTGAGCTGGAAACAAAACAGATTTCATGCTCTGAGATGATCAATAAGAGTGAAAACATGAAAATGTCTTAAGGCTGATCATTGGTATATATTTCCTCAGATAGCATTTTCTAATACTTTGCCAGAATGCAGATTTTTCCATGCATTTTTCAAAAATGCTATTTTTCAAGCTACAAGTCATGCAAAATTGCCTAAATTTGCATACATTATTCATGAAAAAAACTTTTTTTACGAATAAAAAGAAATCCATTAGATAGAATTATGAAATAAAATATGAAAAGATAGGTATTCAAATATGCTTTAAGATAATAAAAAGAAAAAATGGTGTCACCGACCTTGTTTTCTTGCTACAAGTAAAAATTGAAAATTTCTCTATCATTCTTTGATAAAAATTTTACTATTTGGGTTATCTCCCCTTAAATATTTTGAATTTGATAAATCAGTATGAATAATGCAATAAATCACTTATTTTTCTTTATTCCGATAAACAGTCTAACCCATTAATTGCCAATCTGTCTCAAAATTTGCAGATTTAAGTAAAGAACTAGACCAATTGTGAACTGCTATTTATCCAATCCAAGATGGTGATATACAGTTAATCTACCATAACTGGTTGACTGATTATGAGAAACTAATAAGAAAAACATGCAGGATTTATACACCATGTGTATTAACCTTACAGCAGACTAAATAGATACTATTCCAATAGATAAAGCTTTTAGAACTGGGAATCAATCAACCATGAAAATAAGGTCAAGAACGGGCGAACACTGTCAGATGGACATGAACACCTTAAATTATTCTACAAACAGAATGAAGTTTAAACCTATTACTCACAGTAAATAACCTGAGCAGAATTAATGTCATTCCTTGACCTATAAATACATGCAAGGTAAGGTCATGTGACTCCTCTTAGATGGACATGTATATGTAAACCTTACAAATTTTCCATACTACATTTACCAATCACTCAAAGGATATTAGAAACTGACCTAACTTGCCTAACTTGGATACCTAGTTAACATTTATTTAAGTCATTGTACCATGAAAATTAGGTTTGTTCAAACTACATATGCCAGATCTGAATAGAAAGTATGGATCGCCTAGCTTTCATACCTTCCGAAATATTAGCCTACATATCATTAGTTCAGGCTGTTGTTGGATGAGAATACATGTCATGAATGTCTCAGCTTGTTTCAGGCCAGACCATATAAAGGTATGATAAAAGAGAGGCAACAGATATTAAAGGGACATTCAAACTCAAAAGTCGAAAATAAACTGACAATGGTATGGCTAAAAAAGAAAAAAGATCAATAGTCAAACAAACAGACAAACAAAAGGAAAAAAAACACAAAAACTGGGGGTGATCTCAGGTGCTCCGGAAAGGTAAGCAGATCCTGATCCACATGTGGCAACTGTCGTGTTGCTCATGTTAGTACAAACCTGGTGATAAGTCTAATTAAGTAAAAATTAAAGTGTGCAGGACATAAATTTTCAGGTTCACTCAAGACCAAAATGATTTTCACTTGTGAAACATTTTTTATGACTTTTATTTTCCTAAAAGAAAGAATCTCATACTTATCACTTTTTAAACATTGGCTTAATAGAGTTATTTACACTGATTCATTCAGACAATCATAATGTAAGGTTAGGAACAAAATAAGGAACCCTTTTCCAGAATTAGCTTCACTCCATTGACAATCCACATTTAAGAAATAAATAAGTTGCTGCAACCATTAGGTGATACATATACGGTAAACAGACAAATTTTTTTATATTAAAGAAAAAGAAAACATATGTTCATTTAAATTCTAAATGCATTCATTAAGAATTAGACACATGGTATTCAATCATTAATTATACTAGAACCTGTTAACTATCAGAGATTTCGACTAAAAAATGTTCCTGATAATTCTGAAAGATAATTATTACATAATGTCAATAAATTACAATTTTGTACTTACAAACATCAAATATTTACACTTTCTGACCTGCACTTATGGTGCACTTCACCTACTTGTGGTATGTACCGATACTCATGAAAACCACAAACATTTCACACCATACAAACTATGACATTACAGTACACAAAATCATCTGGTGACAACTGTCTGTACTTCTTTTTAGTTTTTAAAGAAACTTTAGAGGATTTCTTGGCTATGCCTTTATAAAGCAGCTTTCTAACTAAGATATTTACTATTTAAAAACAAAATTAATATATAGTATCTCAAAAGTTACTGATAGTTTTTAAATGATAATGATTTTTTGTATAAACGTTTAATTTGTAAAATATAATTGATGCCCTTAGTAATAAGATTCAAAATCATTTAAATGTAGTTTTAATTTTGCAAAAATCAGTATTTAAATAGATATTTCTACTTCTATGGACTGTATCCTCTTTCAAAGGTAACACCTGCCTCATATTATTTATTTTCTACAAACATGTATGATCATATTGTTGTTAACAAATTTAATTAATCTTCGCGACAAATTTGGGTAACTTGCTATCATCAGATGACTATATTACTAGTTTTTTGACAATGAGAAAATACTAAATCTGATCACAGGAAAAATTTTAACAAATGGTTGCACAATTGGCATCAATAAAATGTTTCTGTCCCTCAACATAGTTGCAACATGACCCATCTCTGTATGGAGACTTCACTATCCATTAAAACCAAAGATTGAAATCATGGAGTTCCTTCACGTTATTTTACACATGTCAGTCACCCATACATTGTACTTACAGTATCTAAAGCTACTGAGTCATCACTTCTCATATTATTGACTTGGTTAGCTGTACTTTTCTCTGCTTTACAGGCATTGTGGTAATCTTTTCTATTTGACATTACTTTTGTGTATTTCTTTTCCCATGGCTTCTGGGCCTAAAAAAAAAATTTTTGACACATATATATATATATATATATATATACAAACCAGAGAATGTGCTATTAACATAGATGTTCTGTACAAAACAGCAATTGCCAAAAATAAAGGGGTATTTTAATGATGAAATATCATTTATGAACTTGCATCATTCTAGCAGTAAATCTAGCTTCCTGATAAAAATTCACTCAAACATAAATAAACAATTATAATAACCTTCCAGTTTCAATATTGGTTTCTATCAAATGGATAATAATAGCAATTCTGTAATGCACAAGTGTGAATATGTAATCATGAAAATTTTTCACAAGTTTTGTGAAATAATGGAAGTGAGAGGACTTTTAAATGATATCAGTGCCAAGTTGGAAAGTATCCTGTATTCTCAACAATTTATGAGGCAACTTTTTTACATGATCTCAAGAAAGTGAATTTGAAATGTCTCCTCATATACTATTAATTACCATTTTAAATACCGAGTCAGAATATATACTGTGAAACTGTAATATAAAGGTCATTCTTTGGACCATAGAAAACTGACTTATAAGACTTTTAGATTGAGGTTCAATATGCCTAGGTATTACTAAAATAGGACAAGAAGAGAATGACAAGACCAGGTAGATGTGATCTTACAATTTATGCTAGTACAATGAGCACTAGACCATATACAGCAATGAAAAAAATGTAAATAATGCATAATTTAAAACAACCAAGAAATTACCAGTCCATACATATAAACACTCTATGGTATTGGTCATTGTTGAAGGCTACATGGTGACCTATAGTTGTTAACTGCTATGTCATTTGGTCTCTGGTGGAGAATTTTCTCATTGGCAATCATACCACATCTTCTTATTTTTACAAAATGTATACTATATACATTTTGTAATACATTAAATGTATGTATACTGAGCAGTGTCAAGGATTTCAATCTATATTTGTATAATAAAGTATCTATTTACAGTACAACAATGTCCACCTTTGTTCACAATCAAATCATCAAGATTCTTTACATGTCTTTTCTACATTGATGAACTAATTTTCATGGCCTTGTAAGTTGTATTCTAACATTGTGCATTTTAATGACACTAAAATCTGATACAATTTTATTATGGTGACAGATCTTGACAAATTCAGGTCAATTTAAACACAAGATCTAACCTTGTCGCACTCCCACTTGCAAACTTTAAATTCAAAAGAACAAAAATCATGTTATCTTATAGGAATATAAATTACAAGCTATAAAGATCAGTATATAAATCATATTATCAAAGCTTAGGGTCAACTTTTCTACAAGCAAGCTGATCCCCACCTTCCATGGTAAAACATACACGTATATCCATCTTTGCCATGTTTACATACAATGTATCCTGTTTTTACCAGCCCATTAGCTAGCTAAATAGCACGCCATGTATATTTATTTTCGCTGACCCTACATCGTTGTACCATGTAATTCTTGTCAGGACCACATGTACATGAAGATCACTATATATATATAAAGTGCCTAGAAAATCAACCTAACAATGTTAGAATAGATCTGATTCTTTACTTATTCCCTGACTGTTCACTTCTCACTTCTACAGCAACACCACCTAGCATTGTGCAGACGCCTTATCCCCTCCTCTAACTATATACAATTATATTAAAAATTCACATGTTTCCTTTGTTTATTTTTCTGTATTTAGAAGTCTGTCCTCATTCTGTCTATCAAGGAATTTGGTATGATAGCAATCTTTGATCAAATTTATTCATTACTTGTAAAGAGTTGATCAAGACTATATTTTCTATATGTGAGGTGTTGTTCAACTGCTGTTTATATTTTTGTTATTAATGTACATGGATAACACACATCTCTATTCATTTATATTAAGTACCGCTATATAAATCAAAAGTACATCGAGGACATGAATAAAAAGTTAAATTCCTTAAAAATCTAAATAAAATAGGTTTTGTAAATGGGCAGTACACATTTACATCATTTTTTAATTTCTCTGTCTATTCAAAGTCTGACCTAGATTGCACCAAGAATATGTAACAATAAATCACAACCTGATAACCAGACTAACTAGGTAGTGAAAACACCATAAACTATTTGTTATATAAATATAAACAGCCTGAGGACATGATATGATGACATGGTATTCATCCTTAATTCTATCTCCACTCAGTAGTGATTAGTACATTGTTTGTAATCACATTTTCCTTGTACTTATGATGTTTATCTTTTGTTATATATCAATAGCTTGATAAATGATGAAGAAAATCTGTCAAATGTCTTGTACTTTGTACAGATTGTAACAGTTGATCTTAAATATGAAGAGATTATATATGTGTACTTTACATCTATTAGACTATTAGACTATTGCAAATTGTATATATCTTTATGTGTGGGAAGGAAAGTCATACATATTTTGATTAAATACACTTTTTTTAAATCTGGTCAATTTTAAAATGTACATTATCAAGGGCTGTCTTCAATAATATAAGGTTTTGATCTAGCCTAGTTTCTTGGCCACTTAATAAATTGATGCTACATATGTACAACTACAATATTTTTCATGATGAAACAGAACTAGAATAACTTGACAAAAGAAGACCTGAACAAACAAGTGCCTTTTCTACTTCTGACTAAATTAACTTTCAACATTAACATCATTCCTGGTACCTTTGTTTGACTCTTGCTATGATACCATACAGTTTCTTATTAACCTTAGGATCAAAGGATTAAATAGGAGATGAAGGAGTCTCATTAGTATACATGGATTCTGCGTGAATTTCCATTTATAAGAATAAATACTTTGCAAACTATTGTCATTGTACAGTTTTCTATGTTCTGTTGGTAGTTTATATATTCAGAAATTACAAATGTTTATCTGCAAGCTTTAATGTAGGACTTTTGAACATAAACTTTAGGACCCATGTCAGGGGCGGATTCAGACAAGGGCGTGGCAGGAGTGCCCCCCCTAACCCTAACCCTACCCCCCCCCTAAAATTTGCAAAGCATGGGTTGTCCTCAGCTTAATAAAGAATATTTATAAATCCTGGATCCGCCCCTGCATGTAAATCAAATAAAAAGGTAATTGGTCTCATTATTTCAATTTGTTCATTGTTGAAATTTGGTCTGTTTGGCACAAAAAGAGACTTATTCTTTCATCATTTAAATGTAACATTTTGGACATTTTCATGAAGTACAACTTTTAACAGCTGGAAAAATTAATTTCATCAGCACAAAAAAGTTACTTAAACCAACATATTTGAAAACCTGAATAATATTTCTCTGTTGCACTTAACATACTTTGAACAATTTCATTCTTAATAAATCTTAATGTTTTTAAAGTCCACTTAAAGAAATGCTTTGATCCCACAAATAAATAACGACATCTATAAGTGTCTTCTCATAAAGTAACTCAACTAATAATCACATTAGAATACATGTTCATGTACTCACTGTGAGATTAACAGAGTCAATTTTGAATGGAGCAAGAATCAGCAACTACAATGTAGCTAGAATGATTTTTTTGCTATTCCACACAGAAAAAAAAAAGTAAAGTGCCTTACATGTAGCTAAAATATCTCTTAATATACATATACAGATATATATATATATAATGATAAATTAAGTTATAGGTAAAGATGCAATTGGTCATCAATGGTACATGTGTACGTGTAACAACTCCATAATTTTCTGAACTAAATAGAATTTTTCAAATATTGATGCCAAATCCTACCTTTTTGAAGCCGTCATCAAATTCTTTCGTCTCTTTATAATGCATCATAGATTTGTGGTAATTTTCTTTTTGCCATGATTTAATACCCTGATAAACTTTCTGCAGCAGGTTCTCGGCTACAATTGTATGTAATTCAGCTGTACTATTGGCCTCCTCTAACAGTCCTCTCCACATTGCTTGTGTTGTTCCATATTCTGGACCTATAAACATGAGGTCACAAATGTTTTTATTTAGTTTTTCCACAACATAGGGGGAAAAAAGTTACCTTTTTCATTTTGATTACTGATTCAGATATTATGTGTTCAATTAATATAAACTGTTAACACAGAGATATGTCTCGCCTATTTGTTATTTTGATAATGCAAATGTTGAATTTAAAATAGCAATACTTTAACATGTAAGTTATGCAAATATTCAAAGTCAATGAACCATGACTGAAGGTACAGGGCTAAACAATCTCCATGGAAATGAGATGTGCCAATGCTAATACAACTGCAAACCAAATACCATTGACTTTTCATAAGTCGTTCCCTTAAAACAAACCTAAACACAAATATTAACTTGTAAACTATGTAAAAGTTTCAAAGTCAATTAGATATCATTGAGATGGGAGCCATCTCTGTGGGCCCCGCTGTGAATGTGTGGTAAAAAATTTGTATCTTTATCATTGGACATGGGGTTGTCATCTAAAACCAAAGTTTTGACCTTGACCTTTGACCTAGGAAGTTGTACATACATTATGACACACCCTCTGGTGTTGGTTAATATACATGTCAAGTATAAACTTTGAAATCATAACGGTTCTCTAGATATAGAGCGGACACAATTTGTTAAGGACAGACATACTGATCACTATAGGGCGTCCGCCATTCAGCAGGGCCCTAATGAACCATAATTAGGGGGTGGGGTTATATAATCTCCATGGAAATGAAACTTGCAAATGCCAATACATTTGTATACCGAATATCATTGACTTAACATTAGTGGTTCATCTTAAACTGAACTAATCAGAAACTAATACATGTAAACTAAGCAAAAGTTTCAAAGTCAATAGACCATGACTGAGGGGTAGGGACCAAATATTCTCTATGGAAATGAGATGTGCTAATGCTTATACAACTGCATACCAATTATCATTGACCTACCACTAACGGTTCCCCTTAAACTGACCTAATCATAAACTAATATATGAAAACTAAGCAAAAGTTTCAGTCAATAGACCATGAATGAGGGGGCGGGGCCAAATAATCTCCATGGAAATGAGATATTCCAATGCTTATACAACTGCATACCAAATATCATTGACCTACCACTAGTGGTTCCCCATAAACTGACCTAATCACAAACTAATACATGTAAACTAAGCAAAGTTTCAAAGTCAATAAACCTTGACTGAAGGGGTGGGGCCAAATAATCTTCATGGTAATGAGATGTGCCAATGCTAATACAACTGCATACCAAATATCATTGACCTACCACTAGTGGTTCACCATGAACTAGACCTAATCACAAACTAATACATTGTTGACACCGCCAGCGGAAACAACATACCTATGTCTCGCTTTTTGACCCATCAAGGCGAGACAATAAAATAAAGTAACGAATTCCAAATGAAAAACACTATCTTCTTCATGCATATGACTTAGTCCAGCCCTGGCCTCAGTGACTTATTTTCAATTTTTATTTTTTTTGTTGTCACTGAGTCCAGCTCGCCCTCCATTACCTTCAATGGTGCAAGCTCCCGGGTAGATTACCCGGGGACGATATAGACAATACCAGAGCGCTCAAGTACGAAAAATGTATAACAAATGGTAAAACTTGATAAAATAAACAAGTTACATACCTGAAATGCTTATACACTATGTGGAAACTCATTTTAACAGGAGGAAATCCCTTGCAGTCGGAGCTGTGGAGATCTTGTTTACATCAGTAACGCTATATTACGGAACGTGACGTTTCTACGCTATAACGTAGACGAAACGAATTCAATGTATCGATAAAGATTTTCAACGCTTAAAACTCGTTACGGTAACACGATACCGAATGGCATATCTCCCGATATTTAAATTTTTTTGGCACACTTGTATTTCGAATCGAGTTACATTAGCATATGTCATTGTATGCAATAAAAACTTACGTCACCATTTTTGTTCTTGTAATTTTCATAAGAAAACGTCAGTCAATGTTAACGTTGACGACAAATTTTTTGAAGGGGAAATATATAACAAATGGGGCTTGGTATTTTTGGGGGGTATTTGAATTAACTTAAACTCGTCTTGCATAGTTGATTTATGTAAAAAATTGACAAAGTAAACTCGTGTTTTTCATCGAAGGAAATTCAATGTTCACACAAGTGTTTTTGAACCAGGAATGATTACACTAGTGCTTTTGTACCAGAAATGATTACACTGATTTTGAACCAGGAATGATTACATTGATTTTGAACCAGGAATGATTACACTAGTGATTTTGTACGAGGATTAATTGCACTAGTTATTTTGAACCGGGATTCATTACACGAGTGTTTCAGATCCATACATTGATGAAGTGTTTGGGTACTCATTTTGATTTGAATACATCATGATAACACAATAACGTTTTAATCACAAATTAGATTTAAATGATTTTTCTATGCAAATCCATAAAATCTTATGATTTGAATTTTCACTAATTGTAATAATCATATACTACATTGCCGAAGTTTTACAGTGCATTTGCGTTTTGATCGACTTAAAATCATGTCTTCTATGTCAATGTCTATATATCATAAAACGCCGGATAGATTGATTCAGATCAATTACACTGGTTCCTTGAAAATTATTCTAATTATTCTAATTCCAACCCATAAATGTATGTAAACAATAAACCAGTCAATATAAACAAAACAACGATATCAAGATCGACGCTTTCGAGCTATTTACATCCAATATTCTCTAGTGAAAAACAGGTACACGGAATAAATACACGGTGGAATGAAATTACGCTTACATATGCACCCTCTATATATGTAGAAAACTCTGCGCAAAAGTGCCAGTTTGAAATTGCACATGTCGGAGATGTAAGCCGGAGTCTGTATTATGCGTGCCTTTTTGTATTATCAAAATGCCAAATCCAGCAACATGTCATTTACAAAATATAAACCTGACGATATGCGCAGCAATTTTAGTATAAGCAGGTATACAATTTAAAAGACTGCAGTCGTAAGAAATTAGCCGTATAAAACCTATTTATACCCAGTACGGATTGGACTTTCGAACGGGCACGGTTAAAACAATATATATATATATATATATATATGTTATGGTGGTATTTTATAAGGCATGTGGTGACAATACAAATATCATTGAAGATGCAGTTCATAGCTATAGCATGTATAGTGAAATGGTGATTTGGAGATCTGAAATGAAGCAATGTTAGCAAACAAACATGTACGTCATTTGGTTTTTGGTGGAAAGTTGTTTCATTGGCAACTATACCACATCTCCTTATTTCATTATGGTTTGAGTTTTCTCCAGAAACAAAAGAAGTTTAACAACTTAAACAAATATGTACTTGGAAACTGAAATATGTTACTACGATAATTAAAATATGGCTATTGTTGTGAACGTGATAGATTTAATTCTTGCTATACTAAATATACTTATATATCTTTCCAATCCAGGGGACCAACGTTTACTAAAACTACAAATTAGAAGTACAAAGATACTAGTCCATAATGCATTAGTCACGATTTTCTAGATATATGTGGTTTTGATATCATTAGTTGCATAGCTGTTGCTATCTTATTGTATATCCCATATCTCCATTTATTCACACAAAGAAACACCAACACTATTTTTTACATACATAAAATTGAGAATGGAAATTGCGAAAAGGTCAAAGAGACAACAACCCGACCAAAGAGCAGACAACAGCCGTACATACATACTTGTTTACTTGCTCTAAAAACTCCTTATAAGACTATGAAAACCCTCGGGCTTTTCCCTGACGCTTATGTGAGCAATATGCCCCCCCCCCCCCCCCCCCCCCCCCCCCAAAGGCAACTCTGTTAATCGTCTTTCAGTCGTTTTGTCTCCCCCTTGAACTTGTTTATTATGTCAAACTAAAAAAATACACCATCCCCGAATTCCCAGGCGTGAATTAACATGAATATAAAACCTAAATGATTTTAAGATCTCATTGTTTTTAGTCTGTTTCTGCCGTTTGACTTACAATTAATGAGTCATTTGATTGTAGATTTCGAGAAAATAATTTGTAACGGGACCAGTCTGACTAATGCCAGCCCCCACCTACCCACTTGCGTTTTTTTTTAGACTCAAGTGAATAAAGCAGATGTTTTTTCAGTACCTAGCATATATTTACAGAAATTAACATGAACCTTTTCGAAAGGGGTCTTATCCAAATATTGGAAATTATCGTTATCTTTGTTTTGGGATTTTAATCTGCCTTTTGCTCTATAATAATGTATCCATGTATGATATTTCTGCATTATATGTTAAAATTTGTTTAATAAGAGAATCAAAAAGATTACAGGATACATTAACAGGGAAATTTCCCAAAAAGGCTGCATGTGATTTTATTGAAAACAGCTTTCCTAGCTTTTTTTGGTAAATCTGTTAAACTTGCATTTAGATTTCCATTATTTTTTATCAGAGTGCCCAGAAATTTATATTAAGTAACGTTATCATTTTTTTCATTGTTGAACCTTACAATGTATGGTTCCAGTTTTGTAGTTCTTTGTTCAATGGTCATTGTTTTTGGTTTTTTTAGTATTTAGACATAACTGCCATTTTTCACAGTAATTCGATAAGTTATTTAAGCTATTTTGAAGACCTTATTTACTTTCGGATAAAATGATAAGGTCATCGGCAAACAAAAGACTTCCTATATCAGAATTTAATATTCTCAAGGGTTTTGAATCTTTATGGTCAAAATTTTCAACTATGTCATTTATAAATAAATTGAAGAGTGTAGGATTAATACTGTCCCCTTGTTTTACTCCTCGGTCAATGGAAAAGAATTTAGAATGTTTATCATTATATTTTAAAGATGCTTCAGTATGAATAAACTGTTTTTTTATTATTTCAAACAAATGTTTTCCCACACCCATTTTAGCCAATTTATAAAGCATTCCAATTCTCCAAAGGGAATCAAAAGCCTTTTTAAGATCTACAAAACAGACATAAAGTTTTCTTTTATTTTTATGAATATATTTATTTATTAAAGTTTTTAGGATAAATACAATGTCTACAGTTCTATGATTAACTCTAAATCCAAACTGGGCATTACCGTATAAACTCGCCTAATAGTCGATCCTACTATAAGTCGGGGGCCCTTTTCAGCTCCAAATTCTAAGGATTTAGTCTTGACCCTCGTATAAGTCGGACAAAATTTTGGCATTTTTTTTTCAGCTGACAGTAACTGAACGCCGGTAGAACCAATGCAAATCCAGGAATAATATTCATTTCTGCATTAATGTTTGGTTTGAATTTAGTTGATGCTCATCATGATAATTTATATTGCTGTTAATAATAAAGATGTATTCATTTCTCTTGTTTTGTTCACTGTTCAAATGTTAGATTAGCCATGTGTTGTTTACGTAATGCATCAATGATTTTGTAGGGTATGACTAACAACCTATTGTTTGAGAAAAGCGAATATAAACCAATATGAACCTGACAAATTTAAAGTCAATCAACACTTGATGAAAATATTTTTCACAGCATACATAACTCGGTGTTAAATGAGCATGTACACTTCATAATTCTTATTATATTGTGATGATTAAAGGATTAAAAAAATTAAGTGAAGCTTATCAATATATTAAAATAACTAACTCCAACTCATTAGTGTCATCTGTTTACCTATCACTGATAGTTTTCACACCTTTAGTAAATACAACTCTTTGTCTCTTAATTGGGGTTATCAATGGATTATATTGGCTTGTCAATCAATTTTGTAATTTTTGTTTACCTGAGACACTTTAATGAATAATATTTTGATTTTGGGAATGAATCTTAAAATTATTTTTTGATTATTATATGATTTATAAGCATTGAATTGATATCATGATATCACAATAATGACACAATAACACCGCTGAAAACATCCTTTCACATATTTGGTACATTGTTATCTCCTTTTCATTTTTGGTTCTTGGCTCTTCTTTTGGGTTTATAGGAAAACCATGTGACCATGAAAATCAATACACAAACCGGAAACAGTAGAATTTCAACACGAATTTGCAGAAAATGTTTACCAAAGAACAAATAAAACACAAAGACAGTATTGTAGTCATTTATTTTCAACAAAAACTTTTTATTTATTGATTTATGTAGGTTTGGCAATCAAAAACGTAGTTTTGACCAGGAAATTCACTCCTGACCACTTTTCTCAAGCTTGGATTTTTCCTCTGGTCGCTAGATCTCGTCTATTAGTCGGTCCCCCTCTCTGGATTATGAATTTTACTCCCAATTTTCCGACTAATAAGCGAGTAGGTACGGTAGTTAATTTTTTTTTCATAGTTTTAATCATTCTTTGATTTAAGATACTGCTAAATAATTTAGATATACAGTTGATTAAAGAAATGCCTCTGTATTTGCTTGGATAACATTTGTCACCAGATTTATGTACTAAAGTTATGTATGCAGAATTCATGAAGTTGGATAGTATCCTGTTTTTAACATTAGATTAAATAATTCAGCATATGCTTTGGTATTTACTGGACTACTAAATTTAATTACCTCATTCAACACGCTATCTGGACCGCTTGCTTTTCCATTTTTTAAAGTTTTTTATAATACATTTAATTTCAGAGCAAGTAATAGGACTGTCAGTGTCCGGGTTAAAAGAAATAGTAAATTTTGCTCAGTTTTGGTTTGAAAATCATTATTCATTTTTGAAAACTTTCCTTGATTTTGAAAATGTTTTATTGTGCTTTCACTGTCCTTAAACATTTCTTTTAAATCTGCATCTCCATCTATATTTTTGTTTTCTAGTGATTTTATATAAATCATGCAGATGCAAAGGTATCAATAGAAACAGAATATTTAGGTATATTCAGCGGAAAACGACAAAGCAATCAATGTCAAATAAAGGTTACGTATTGAATCAAATCTATCGGCACTCTGCATCTAGGAAAACAGTTGAAAATGTCACATAGTTACAAAAACTAAAAGGATTTTCACATCACGATGACCGTGATGGCATTTCGATGTATTTGTTGCCGCAGAGATTTCTAGATTTCAAGATGCATGCGGAAGAATATTTCAAGAACGTTTTGCGGGAAAATATGAATGCCTGCTCAAATCCAGTCTATTAGAAAAATCGAATAATACAGAAGAGTGTCCACCATGCACTTGCACTATAACTAGAATAGAAGAAATAGAATGATATACAAAATGGATTGATATTATATATACATGTTACTGTTATATACAAATATTAATATATTAATATTAATACAGTATTATAGTTATTATGGTGAGGTTGCATTCCCGGTCATTTATTCATCATCCACGCACGAATATGTATCAGAAAAAATAATATCTCTGGACATTAAACTCACTTTCAGGTATAGAGATGTGATTTACTTTCTGAGACAAGTGCCATCCACAAGAACTTGCGGTCGTCCGATGTTCAGTACTTCAGTACTTTGATTATTATTTAATCATTTCGTGATTAAAGAACCTTTTGCATTGACTAGGAGGTATGAACGTTTTCTGCGGGTCAAAAACCATTCACACCGGTAAAGGAATGTTTTCATGGTTGGCCATATCTTCTAGGACTAAAAAAACTAGAATCTGATATAATCACATGACTATTGTCCATATCTTTGTAAATTTTCAGTAAATGACGGGACAATAAGAAATCTCTCCATCAATAAAACATTACACTTTTATTCTTTTAACAATTTTTCAACCCTATATTTCAATGCAGATGGTCCTGCCATGATACGATTTTGGAAACTGGACTTAGTCCGTAAGTCTAGTTTCACATTAATCACCATTCAAAATACTTTATTTTGGCCCAAAGGTTAATAGCAGGTATGTGTATCGTTAATTTGAAAGTTAAAAACATGTATTAGATTGCATTAAATTACAATGTTAAATTGAATACACTAATTAAGATATAAAAGACTGTAAGTGAAAAAACAGTTTCAGACTTATCATTCGCTGCTTCAGTAAAAAAAGACTTAACGAGGCTGGAATTTCAGATGTATATTAACGAGAGCTTTAAAACAATGAGAGAAAATGAAAATCGTCAGTATTAAAGTTGTTCTCCATTTTGTCACCAGTAACAATAAATTCACATTCAAAAAGCTTTTGAACGAGCGGTTAATATATAAGTTATCGCAAGGAAATCGACAGAGCCGCCTATCAGCCGTACGGCAACCCCAAATACAAATTAGGGGTTATTCGTTGAAATTCGGGTTGAAAAATGGTTCAAAAAAATAAAAGTGTGATGATAAATTGATGAAGAGATTTTTTTAATATTGTCCCGTCATTTATTGAAAGGAACCATGATATGTGAAAACGTTTAAACTGATTTGGTTTCTGTCACTTGGAACTGAGAAAAAAAACACAATCAGTAAACTTCTTCTGAACAACAGAAGGTATACACATACATAATTTAAAGTGTCATAATTTACCAGCAGCATTCAGTGCCCTTAAGTCCACGTTTAAAAGTTTGAGGTGCAAAATCGTTGATTTAACGAGTTTAAACGTCGAATATCTTTATCGATACATTGAATTCGTTTCGTCTACGTTATAGCGTAGAAACGTCACGTTCCGTAATATAGCGTTACTGATGTAAACAAGATCTCCACAGCTCCGACTGCAAGGGATTTCCTCCTGTTAAAATGAGTTTCCACATAGTGTATAAGCATTTCAGGTATGTAACTTGTTTATTTTATCAAGTTTCACCATTTGTTATACATTTTTCGTACTTGAGCGCTCTGGTATTGTCTATATCGTCCCCGGGTAATCTACCCGGGAGCTTGCACCATTGAAGGTAATGGAGGGCGAGCTGGACTCAGTGACAACAAAAAAAATAAAAATTGAAAATAAGTCACTGAGGCCAGGGCTGGACTAGCATATGACTGTGTAGGTTTTTTCCTTTTCTTTTGGGAAAGAAGCCTCACTGAAGACTAGATACATGCATATGATAAGCAATATATTCTTACTGTACACGAACTACACAATTTACTGAGAACACACAAGAATGGTCCATCATATTTTATTTATACATTTGGTACCTATAACAATACATACCTTTATCAAGAAAATCATTCCATTTTTTAGTCCAACCTTGTAAATTTTTTGAATATCCTTTCTCTATTTCTGCTCTTTGTTCTATAAGCTGACGTAAATTATCACAGAGTTTGTATCCATTGTCACATCGTTTCACAGTCCGACTATATTTTCCTATTTCCCAAAAGCTGTCACTTGTGGCTGTCATTTCATCATGAATAGACATGGTGCTATTTTTAATTTATCTCTACCACTCAAGGCAGGCTCTGAAAATAATCATATATTTACTCATTTGGAAACTACAATATACATTTTTTTAGTCTAATGGTAACAAGAGCAATTAATCTCTTCTTGTTTCATGTATCATGAAAACATTTATAATATTTGGTTTTGTGGTGATACATCATCCTAAATAGTAAACTCTGGCATGGATGAACATGTTTGTAATTTACATAATAACGGTTTTATTCAAATTTACACTAAGATGCATATGTTGTTAAATGAAATTGGATACCCTCCATTTATCATGCTTTTCAATAACATATGGTCAAATTGCTGAAAGACCCCATCCTAACTTATTGAAAACTATTATTCTGCATTGACAATAATAGCTTGTTGTAAACTAGATACACCAATTTAGGCTGACACCCTCAAGGTGTATGATATCTAATACATGTTCCTTATCAAAATTTCAAGTATTTACAAATTTTAATAAACAATAATGATGACCTACATGAACAGGTAGATTAATATATTGTAATTTACCTAATAATGGACACTTACAAAAATGTATTTTAGTTTCACTGTTAAGATTAATTATTTTCAAGATAAATATTACAATGATTTCAACTTTCAAAGTGGAAATAAATTTGACTTATTAAATTGATTAACTATTTGGTGTTTCAAATTGATTTTATAAATTAAATTTCCTTATCTGCTTATACCTGAAAAAAGTTCCAGTTATCAAATGAAAATTTATTCCAGCAGGAAGCACAAAATGCATGTAAACAAAAGTACATGTATTTTTTTCAAAATAGTCTGGACATACATGTACATGTACCGGTAGTTATAATTATCTAGAGGCAACTTTCACCTACATGTATATGTATAAATCATATATTTGTTAATACCTCTAAAAAAGGTAAACAACTTTGGATTAGTAATACACAAATAACAGATCAGACCTGGAAACAGAAATACACAGATACAATTAACAATGGTTATTCTTTATAAATTATTTCCTCAAACTTTGATGATTAAAGTACAAGCTGTGCAAAATATGTATATTGGTATTTCCAATAACCCACTTTGGGCTTTTGGGGAAACATGTAATGTAATTATATAACTTATTAATAAACATGAATTAATTCTTTTATCTATAATTGGTGATCATCAACTGTGCAACATTTTCATGTTCAAAATGTATTTTATATTAAATGTATTACAATACATGTATGTACATACATGTACTACAAGATCATGAAGAAATTGAAGATTTGGTATAACTATTTTGTTGTTGGTGTTTGTTTTTTGGAGGGAAGGAGGAATTTTTTCACTGAAGGACAACCATACATTCTGAATTTTAATTGTAATCTTCCAGTACAAATTGAAGCTGAATCCTATTCTAAAAACACTGTGTTGTCAATTCATTAACACATACATATATTGCTAAAATTAGTTCCAATTCAATATGGTAAGAGCTTTATTTTCCTTTCAGTGTAGTACGATCAAAAGTTTGAACTAGGAACAAAACATAACTAGAGACCAGCTACAGCTAAAAATACAAACATATTTACACCTTGGATTTTTGCATGATTATGTATGAACATGATGAACAAAATTCCATAAAACACCTGTTTTATTTTTCATTTCCAGTTCAAACTTTATAGTTTATGTAACAATTCATTACATAATGAACTTCAATATTGAGGATACACAGTAAATATCAAATATTTCAATAACTAATCAGCTTTAAGACCTTTCTAATCTTTAAATTCCTTTCAATATAGTTACACATCAATTGCTCTTTGGTTAAGCAGATGGAATAGGTATGCTTCCTTTCAATTGGTAAATTATTGGAAAAATTACATTTGACCTGTTATAATACAACCAGGAAATTGATGACATTCAAATAATGTAACTTTATTGTCATTTAGGCAATATCATAATGACCTTACTACAGGCATATGAGACATTAAAATACCCTTAATTTATATAAAAAAACAGTCTCTTTCTCATATTCATGTTTTCAAATGGTAACCGCAGCTTATATATCATGTATATGTAAGATACATACATATACATGAATGATTGATGGGCAGAATCAATTTGAGCCAATTACAGTTTTTGAAAGGTATCAAATGCGCCACTCTCTATTTTTTTGGTGGTATTAATTGTGCCGATAAATGGAATCAAATTGTACCACATTTACCTGTTTATCGGCAATTTGTACATTTTCACTTTGATCTTTAACTTACTGCTTAATTTTTTTAGGATCGTAGACAGGACTTGATACTCGAAAATATTAGGCAATGAAGTCATGTATCAGTGCAAAAACGTAAAATGCGCAAGTCCATCTGCGTCAATTTATCAATGAAATACACACGAATTCATTCATACAACCGAACAACTTTTCGAATGTTTTGTACTCGTTCCAGTAGTTTTACTCACTATTTCATTTTACTTTATATTCTCAACCAAAAAAACATATAGTTAAGACAAATTGCCAATAATAAGAATATACATATAGGTAAAAAAATATATATAGAATATTGGCATTTTATTTTAAGTTACAAATACCAGCCTTTGGTTTAATGTTGAACAGATACATATTATAGTTTTATCTGTGTATATATGAGTGAAGTTTTAAATCTACAAATCAATCATTCAGTAGATTTAATGGGTGACAGGGTTAATTTGACTATTAATTGAATTTACGGCCCTGTATCCATGAAATTGCTTATTTTTATCAAAATATTTGTCCAATGGGGGAAAATGTTGGCTTACTTGCATAGGTTAAATATTTATTATATATTATAACATAATGTTTTTATGTCTTAAAGAATCACACACTAATTATACATAACAACAACATGTATGTCCATACCAGATTCTGCACTTCACAGCCAAATAAGTATTATCTTTCCTTGAATAAATGTCATGGTTAGTGATTATGGGCTGTAGCTGTTGATTGTTCAGACATTCAAGCATATTTAACAATACTAACAGATTATCTTGTGTCTTGTTTCAGGTACTTTAATATACAGTATCCCCCTCCATATTAACAAGAAATTCATATAATAGTTTTGGTGAATAAAATTGTGTTGTCATTATTATCATTGAATTCAAATTTTGGTGACATGTTGTCATTAAACTCCTTAAATAAGCACATCATAATTACATTCAACCTGGGAATAGAGATTGTCACACTTTTTCTGTATCAGTAAGACATTTAGAAGTGGTACTGCTCTTTTGAAAATTGAGACTGGAAGGTATGAAGGTCTTTTAGTTGAAAATAGAATTTGTCTGAACAACACTTGTAATGAAAATCATTTAATCGAAGATGAAAAACATGTATTAATGAATTGTCCAGTGAATGAAGATTTGCCTTTTTATTTGTTTTATCAATATCTCTATGTAATGTTAATTTTATGCACTTTTAGGGAATTGTGATTAAGTACCTACGGAACAAACATTGATAATATTGTAGGCAATGGAAATAAAACATTGGGATTTACCCGAAGAAATCTGAAAGACTGCACAAAACCAGTAAAAGCAGCAGCATATACAGCCATGGTAAGACCTTCAGTGGAATATGCCTGCACAGTTTGGGATCCATCGAGCCAAAAAAAGATCAAATCATTAGAACAAGTTCAAATAAAATGCTCCGCAGGGTGCAGCTTGATACAACCGCAGAGGTCGAACCCTGAACAGTTGGGGCAAGTATGGACACAACATTCAAGCTTGATACAGCTTTGCATTTGGATTGTGATTAAATATTTGACACAGCATAGGTTTTTGACACAGAATGAATGTGGTCTAAGAACTTAAAAATTTTAAATTGGACATTCACCTATTATGGTCCAATATCCAAAATCTAAATACATGGTTAGATTCAGCATATCAAAGAACCCCAAGAATTCAATTTTTGATGAAATCAAACAAAGTTTAATTTTGGACCCTTTTGACCTCAATGTGGACAAAGTTGATAATGGGGCCCAAAAATCAAAAATCTAAATACATGGTTAGATTCAGCATATCAAATTTTTTTAAAGAACCCCATATATTCAATTTTTGTTGAAATCAAACAAAGTTTAATTTGGACCCCGATTTGGACCAACTTGAAAACTGGGCCCATAATCAAAAATCTAAATACATGTTTAGATTCAGCATATCAAAGAACCCTAAGAATTCAATTTTTGTTAAAATCAAACTTAGTTTAATTTTGGACCCTTTGGACCTTAATGTAGACCAATTTGAAAACGGAACCAAAAATTAAGAATCTAAATACACGGTTAGATTGGCATATCAAAGAACCCCAATAATTCAATTTTTGATGAAATCAAACAAAGTTTAATTTTGGACCCTTTGGACCTCAATGTGGACCAATTTAAAAACAGCGCCCAAAATCCAAAAACTAAATACACGGTTAGATTCAGCATATTAAAGAACCCCAAGAATTCAAGAATAAAACCCCATTGAAATTGGTCAAGAAATAAGCAATTTATACGAAGTATCTTCTTTTGCACAATACTGTGCAATTAAATATTTCTTGCTATTGCGCAATACTGTACAATTGACAATTTCTTGCTATTGCGCAATATTGTGCTATTGGATATTTCTTGCTATTGCGCAATTGAAGATTTCTTGCTATTGCGCAATACTGTGCAATTGAAGATTTCTTGCTATTGTGCAATTGAAAATTTCTTGCTATTGCACAATACTTATCATATAATAATTTACACATCCTGTTTGGCGTGTATCTCCTATCATATCATTATTATTTGCTTTTAAATATAAATCAGAAATAACCAACTTAAAATGGAAAATTTTAAAAGAAAAAAAAAAGGAAACCCCCCCCCCAAATTTTTTGAACCCCCTTATGATTCACCACCCCCAAACTCAATCCCAGCCTTCCCTTTGTGGTATGGTACCTTGCAGTACAATTTCAGAGAGATCCATACACTTGAACACAAGTTATTGTCTGGAAACTAGAAAAATGTGTTTTTTGGCCCCAAATTCCTAAACGTTTAGGGCAATTACCCCCAAACTCAAACCCAGCTTTCCCTTGGTGATATGGAACCTTGTAGTACAATTTCAGAAAGATCCATACACTTACACACAAGTTATTGTCCTGAAACTAGAAAAATGCTTGTTTTTTGCCCCTTTTTTGCCCCTAATTCCTATATTATTGAGGCAATTACCCCCATCATCAATCCCAGCCTTCCCTTTGTGGTTTGGTACCTTGCAGTACAATTTCAGAGAAATCCATGCACTTGAACACAAGTTATTTTCTGGAAACTAGAAAAATGCTTATTTTTGGCCCCCAATTCCTAAACGTTTCGGCAATTACCCCCAAACTCAATTCCAGCTTTCCCTTTGTGATATGGAACCTTGTAGTACAATTTCAGAAAGATCCATACACTTACACACAAGTTATTGTCATGAAACTAGAAAAATGCTTGTTTTTTGCCCCTTTTTTGGCCCCTAATTCCTAAAATTTTGAGGCAATTACCCCCAAAATCAATCCCAGCATTCCTTTAGTGATATGGAACCTTGTGGTACAATGTCAGAGAGATCCATACACTAACACACAAGTTATGTCTGGAAGTTACAAAAATGCTTATTTTTGGCCCCTAATTCCTTTACTGTTGGTACCATAACCCCCAAAATCAATCCCAACCTTCCTTTTGTGGTATTGAACCTTGTGGTAAAATTTCATAGAGATCCATTCACTTAAACTAAAGTAAGAGTGCGAAAACCAATGTGTCTTCGGACGACGAAGACGACGCCAACGTCATACCAATATACGACCACAAAAATTTTTTTGCGATCGTATAAAAAGAGCAGCAAGATTGGTTCATAATAACTACTCAGACCGAACACCTGGCTGTGTAACACACATGGTTAAACAATTACAGTGGGAAAGCCTGGAAGAACGTAGGAAAACCAACAGACTATGTATGCTATTTAAAATCCAGCACAGGCTAATCGATATAGATAGACAACAATATCTAATACCCAACGACAGCCGGACCAGAGGTATAGGCCGCTTTTACCAAGAAAGAACAAAAACTGACACCTATGGACAGTCATTCTTCCCAAAGACCATCAGGGATTGGAATCAACTTCCAGCTAAAACAACATCGGCTGACTCGATAGAGGGATTCAGAGCTGCTCTGAAAGCAGGATCTGAAAGGAAGTAAACAGCATAGCGTGTACATAATTTTAATTGTAAATTGGCGAACGTTTTAAATGTAAATAACTTTGAGAAGACTTGCTGCCTTGCCTGGCACTGCGCTAAGTTTTCGCGGGACCATACACATTCAATATGAATTCGGTTCCTTACTTGGAAGAAGAAGAAGAATAACATTATTTCTAGTTTATCCTGCATAATGACAAACACGATTACTCTTGATGTACTTTAATAGTGCAGGGATACAGGCAGGCCCCTCTATCTGGAAAATGAAGTCATACAGGGACGCATAATTGACAAACCTTTCTGTACCTGAAATTGGTTTATTGCAATAAGATAGCTGAACATTACAACACATGATTGTTGCCAAAAAGTTTTTAAAAAAAAATCCTCATCAAACATGTCAAACATTATGAAAGGCGCTCACACTTGTGGTTTTGGTTAGTCAGGCAATTTTTCTTAGCCCTATCATTTTTTCGAGCCCTTCAATGTATTGTAGCTGATTTCGTGGCCTTACACCTACCGGTCTTTGCCCAAGTAATTATCTTTCATGACCTGCAGAGGCTAAATCAGAAGTGGTCACACCCTAATTGGCCATCGAAAGCTGAAAAATTTCATTTCTCTTTTGCCATGAAACACGCGAAATATGTTTAACATCACTCTCCTTTTTCTTTTTTATCAATGACCAGATTATATTTTTGCCCTCGGCCAGGTGAGCTAAAAAAAACACCTGTCATAATTTTTTCTTCAAGGAAGTGGTCTGCAAGGCCAACTGACAGAGTGTCAACACTTGAAAGTCAATTAAAGTTAAAAATATTGCCAATACCCTTCCAAAACAGGCAATTGACAAAAAGATGAAGGGTAAAATTCTAATGATAATTTGATCTCAAAATTATGTCAACAATCCAAAATATGTCAGACCGTCCGGAGATTGATTTTGTTCTGTATGCTACGTTTAAACTTGGAATATTTTTATACCTCGGAAATAATATTATATCAAACTTATCTGTCTTTAAATAGTGATAATGTCACGGCGTTGCATGAAAACTATGCTCATACTCACCCAGATTTTGCAGGTGAAGAAGTTAGAAAAATCCAAAATGGCCGACTTGAATGGGTGTGGTTTATTTTTCTGCATATTATAACGATGAATATGATTGGATATCGAATTTTACAGCAGTTTCACAAAAGTTGGTTGCGACAAGGATTTGTATAGTAAGACTATACAAATCCTTGGTTGAGATAATGTTGTGAATGATCCAGTTGGATATACACTTTTAAGCTAGGCTTATTTTAACGGTGGTCTTAAGAAGTGCTAAAATAATTCATAGCTTCTAGCAATGCCTGATACAGGCTGAACAGTACAGACTGAAAAGCAAAGTAATTTGTATGTAACGGTTAAAGAGGCTAATTTGGTTAATCCCTTACCTTACCTCTGTATCTTTACCCCCTTCAAAGGAGAACCATACAGGTTCTGTGTGTTGAACAGGTGCTTTGGGTGGCGGTGCTCATTATTTACAATGGTGCTGTGAATGTGGATCCCATCACCACAATTTATCCATGAATTTTTGGATCATCCTTCCACCATTATGTACATTATTTACATATATGAGTATCGTTAAAGATAGTATTTGCAATCCGCAACGACACCTCCCGACATTTTAAAAAGTTATTTATGTTATAATTAAAAGTTCATGGCGATTTTTTCAAAGTTAAAACAAGTCTTTCCACACGGGATTTTGCGGTAATATATAAAAGCGACGCCTTATTAATCGTTTAAAATCTAAAATCCCCTCACTATCACATACAGAATATATATAGAGCGGCTTTGCCTGGTTAAAACGTATCATAGTTAAAGTTCAATGTTCTAAAAATATTTGCTTTTTAAAATCTAAAAGTTCAGTGTTCACACGGGATTACCATATCGTGATAAAAGTATATGTACGGTAAAGTCTAAAAGTATGTTCACTAGGAATCTGTAGGCAAGCCGGTGGTTTATGACCCAGAGCGATGGTCTCCCTACCCCTCCCCCTCTCCATGCTAGTTTATCTTCTACGCTGTGCCTCTAATTCCTTTCGTCCAACAGTACGTTTCTCTTTATATGCAGCTTGAAGAAAAGGTTTCTGGAATGGTTTTCCAAACGGGCTGCGCTGGCTGAGTTATATTTATTTAGGTTGATGAGTTTTGCACTGTCAAGGAGCAATCACATTTGTGTTGTGATGTTCAAGTCATGGAATCTTGTGGTGTTATTCATTTCATTTTGCCATATGTCATTCACCTCTTTAAGTATCACTGTTCTAACGGACTGCAGCTTCTCGCATTGCATTACAAAATGTTCTAGCGTTTCCTCTTGCATTCCACAAAGCAGGCAGGTCGGGTCTGTTTCTTGTCTGTAGAATTGAATCCGTTTTGTTTGGAGTACATAAGTTCCAGTAATAAGGCGTAATCTGGTAGGGATTCTGCTGTTGTCTAGCGCGGAGTGACTCTTGTGTTTGAGGATTGGGTGAAGTTTTCCCTTGATTAGGTTTTGATTGCTCAGGTACTTGAGCCCTAAGTATAGTTCAGACATTTGTACAATTTTGGTGCTCCAGTATTTCATCACAGCGTTCTTTATCAATGTGATCCACTGAGTTTTCTTTATTGGATTGGCCAAGTAGGTATTCGCTTCGTTGAGATCGTATAGACGTAGCAACTTGTTGATGTTTATGAACCAGCTATTACTAGCCTCACTGCAGACTGTCAGTTGTCTCCTGGCAAGCTTTTTCTCGGTGCTCTCTTCTGATTGGTGGCAGACATTGTTGAAGAAAGTTAGTGTCTTGATGTGGATTTGGGCTTCAATCGGGAGAATTCCTGTGAGTATGTAGACTGCTGGATCAGGGCATCTTGTTGGCAGCGATAATATCTGTTTAAGCATTCTTTTTTGGAAGATCTCAAGTTGTTCAAGTGGCTTACTGGATGGGGTTAGTAGTTCCATTCCATAGAGTAGCACGGGAAGTATATACATCTTGTAGATGTGCAGTAGCGACTCAGGGTCCAAGCCATTATGTCCATGAAAACCAGATCCAAGTAGACTGTATGCACTCCTTCTTGCCTTTGTTATATTTTCGTTGGTGTTACTTTGTATGTTGTTCTTCCGAGTTGTAGTTCTGATGATCCCAAGGTGTGTAGACTGCTCAACATTCGGCATAGGTGTGTTTCCCATCATCAGGTTATCTTTTTCCAGTTTGGTGTTATTGCTGTTACCGCTTATTTTAATTACTACACTTTTCTTTGGCTGCAGCTGGTATCCTTCTGAGTTGGCAAAGTCAAGGGCCATGTTGACCATAATTTGAGCATCAGTTAATTGTGTACTCAATATTGCGACATCGTCTGCACATCCGGTGTTGTTTGTGTTGACATTCCCTATAGTCATGCCGTAGGTTGTATTTTGGAAGTGGTCTAACAAAGGGTTGATGTATAACTTGTACAGGTCTGTACTCAGTATGCCTCCTTGCCTGACACCCATGCCTACTGTAAAACGCTCTGATGTTTTTCCGGACCATTTTATGCTACTTTCTGCGTTTTGATGCAGACTCTTAATGATTGTCCATGTCCTGTCTCGAATCCCAGCATGATACATCCTGCGGAATAGATGTGAGTGCACCACAGTGTCAAAGGCAGCTTTTGCGTCCAGCAAGACAAGATAACCGTTTTGCTTATTGTCGGTGAGAATTCGGTACATTTCCTCCACAGGAAGGGCTGCATTCATAGGGGAGGATCCTTTGGTGAATCCTCTTTGAGTTGGGTTTTGCACCTTCTGCACTTTTGGTTGTATCCGGTCTCTAACGATGGCCTCTATTATCTTGCTCACTACGGGTAAAATAGTTATCCCTCGGTAGTTTAATGCATCATTTTTGCTGCCTTTGTTCTTAAATATAGGAGAAAGCAGTCCTATTTTCAGAATTTTTGGTATATCTCCTTCTGAAAATATAATGTTAATGAGTTGAGTGAGGGCGGACAACATATTTTCTCCAGCATATATGAAATGTTCAATAGTTATATTGTGGTAGTCTGCAGATTTTTTCCTATTTATTGTAGATATAGCTTTGTGGACTTCATTTTCTATGACAGGGCGTATCGATTCTTGGTCTACCATTTTGCAGATATTGCTTATTTCCATTTCCACTTGGAAGTGGTACTCAGGGTTGCTGAAGGCCTCTTCTTTAAGTGTAGACAGGGTACAGAAGTGTTCCTTGAATCCCTCTATGACTTTATCTCCCGAGAATATCTCGCCGCTAACGTTTATATCCTGTATGTGATCAATTCCCTTCCTACGGTTCTTTTGGACTAGTTTGTGGAAGACCTCCATGTTATTAGATTTTGCTTCCATGATACTCTCTTTTTCTGCCTCCAGTTGCCTTGCTACTGCTATGCGTACTGTTTTCCTAAATTCCTTTTTTCCTTGCTTTTTCCTGAGTGTTAGAGGGTTTGTGGGGTCGTTTGGTCTCCCCCCTTTTTGCCATTCATTGTACGTAATCCGTTTTTCCTTCAAAGCGTTCTTTATGTCACCATTCCATACTTTGAGCTTTGGTCTCGAATGGTAAATTGTTTTATTTCCTGATGAAGTTTGTGATGCTGTTGTGAGTATGTCATTCATCCGCTCAATTACTTCTTGTGACTCTAATGAATCTGTAATCATGGATTCTTGCAACTTCAGTGCCTCGTCGTCTGTTATTGCTTTATACAGATCCTTGTCTACCTTGTCCCATTTAATTTTGAAGTTCGGACGGGCTTTCTGGTTCATATCAAGTTTCTCATGCTTCCAGTTTATACTCATACTGATTGGATAATGGTCTGAGGCGTTGGTTTGGCATTTGAGGATTGATTTTCCCTTCTCTAATATGTCTGGTGTTAAGTTGTGTAGGAAATAGTCGATTTCAGAGCATTCGCATCCCTTTGAGTTGACGAATGTATTTCCTATGTTGTCAAATTCCAATTCATTTTCGTTTATAAATTTCTTCAGGTACTCCTTTCTCTGGTTCGTTGGTTTTCCAGCGTTAAGGTCTTCGTTAATGTCTCCACCTATAACAATGTGGTGAGTACTGTTGTATTTTTGGCATATCTCGTGCAGTTCGTCTATGCACTCTTGATATTCTATTTGATGGTTTTTGCTCCCGTTTGATGGTAGATACACGCTAACAACCAATATTCGCCTAACTGCGTTCTCAAGTTCAATACACTGTATTTTTTCCGATCCGTCGGGAAGAGGCCTAATGAGATGATTTATGTTTCTGTTCCAAATGATTCCCACGCCACCATATCCTCTGGGCATTGATACTGGAAGAATTGGTTCGTTCATATCCATAATCACCTTTTTTCCATACGATTTATTTATTAGCTGTAATTAGCTTTGAACTAGCTGCGAGTACCGTCAGTGTCTTATAATAAGTTGTTTTTTATGCTCCATGCCGATCTGTTGAGTCGAGTCGATTCCAACTGATTCAGTTTTACAGTTTGTTCTTATCTTGTGCTTTTTCACCACCGTCCTTGATTATGGGAGGTTGAGTGCCGTCGCTAACATGTTTAGCCCTTACACCAGTGGCGGATCCAGAAATTTTCATAAGGGGGGGGGGGGGGACACTGACTGCCTAAGAGGGGGCCCGCTCCAGTCATTCTTCAGTGATTCCCTATATAATCAAACAAATTTTCCCCACAAAAGGGGGGCCCGGGCCCCCTGAAAAACCCCCTAAATCCGCCTCTGTACACATTCATTCATGATGAATGTGTCTATAACATGTGTCTGTCAGTGGACTGCAATTCATTGGCGGTTATTGTTTGCTGTCTGTCATATTTGTTTCTTCGTTTATTGTTTCAACATAAAAGAGGGACGAAAGATATCAGAGGGACAGTCAAACTCATAGATCGAAAACAAACTGACAACGCCATGGCCAAAAATAAAAAGACAAACAGACAAATAATAGTACAGATGACACAACATAGAAAACTAACATGAGACTAAGCAACACGAACCCACCAAAAACTTGGGGTGATCTCAGGTGCTCCGGAAGGGTAAGCAGATCCTGCTCCACATGTGGCACCCGTCGTGTAGCTTATGTTATTACAAATCCGGAAAATAGTCTAATTCGGCCATTGGGTTAATTTCGCGTTTGAACTGTTTTATATTTTGAGATGTCTAGACCTTTTAAAGCTAAATACATGTAATGGATTTTGATAATCGTCGACCTATAGTTGTTAACATCCACAAAATTGTTATCGCTTGTAGATATTTTTCTCATTGGCACTCTGCTTTTTATTTTTAAAGAGGGGAGATTTTTCTACAAATCATTCGACTGTTGAGAAATCCAACACATAACTTCCCACATTTGAGACAAGTTAGAGTTTTGATCCCAATTTCACGGTCCACTGAACATAGAAAATGATAGCCTAGTGCGAGTGGGGGATCCGTGTACTATGTACTTGTTTAAATATATTTTGTGATTTTTTGAGAAAATCAGATTTTAATTCGTACTTTCAATGAAATCACGAGATTTGTTGTTAATCTCTTGTATTATGTGTCTCTTGGATGGACCCAGAATACCAACTTCATATTTGGTTGGATTATATAAATAAAAATCACTATAAAGTTATTATCTTGTGTCCAATAGTCCAACAAAGCCGGGAAATATACATGGATAACTACATAAAATCAACATGTTTCTTCATTTTCTTGAAATATTCATATTATGACATCAAAACATTGCAAATTTTGTCTTGTTCCTATGAAATTCTTGATTTTATGCATTTACTTATGTCATGAGCAAGTTTGTCCAAAAAAACGGGCCCGTTGAAATCACCCAATTTTAGTATATTAAACAGATATTAAGTAAACAGAAATTCTTAAAGGTTACTACCCATAGAATTTCCCAAATACCCCTCCGAACATCAACTTATATGGTTGGAATTGTATTACATTTACAACTGCTGTTTAAGGAAATATCTATCTGACGATTTAAGAAAATAGGATGATAAAATTAGATAAATAATTAATCTATTAATAAGTTAGTGAATCGAAATCATCACAATTTATTATTGCAGATTCTTAATTATTTCTAAAATTTTACTAGACTAGGTCAAATCCTTAATTTCCATCCGCTGTTTTGTAATTTATTATGCCAGCTCTAATCGTCACTTATATGCTTAGCTCTGTTATCGTTCATTGCTTATTTTGTTTTAACATCTAGCCTATCATAATTTTCTTATAATTTCAATTTTATTTTCTTGCCACTTTCTTAAGTTACCCCTCCCATCACTTTAAAGACTACGCCACTGTGTTGTGTCTGTGTTTTGTACAATGTCGTAATTTTTTCATTATTAATTTATAAGTCAGTTGTCCTCGCAAAATTGTCAATATTTCGCACTGAATTGTTGAAATGGAGGGAACTTTATCATGTGTCTGCTTCAGTTTTTTTTTCAGATTTCATTATAGATATTTACATTTCTTTGTTACTTATAAAAAAGGAAGCAGCTATATGTACAAAAACGTATTTGTGTCAAAAACCACGAGTTTTGCTTGTTTACTGCATTGTTTGTTTTTCAAAAGCCAGTTATTTGAGATGAAAAGAGGGAGGTTTAACTCTAAAACAAAAAGTCTAGTTTTCTGTGATCCCGCCACATGTTGCTGTACCTGTCCTTAATCTGAAACGCCCGGCGATAAGGGACTAGTCGCCTTTTGTCATGTCTTAATGTACTTCTGTCATTTTGTGGAATTTGGTGTTGATACCGACATTCTTTACAGTCTGTTTTAAATCTAGTATTCACTTCTTGTCTACACCGATGTTGGGTGATTTAGAGTTTATATATTATTAATACCTCTCTCAATTTTTAATATAAAAACAAGAAGTCAATAAGTCGATCTCTATAGATACCCTTTTCTGCTGTTCGATTGCTGTCTGTTTTATATTTATGTTTTTCTTTAAACAACTTTGATTACTACCCACTAGTTTGGTACTTTTGTGGGGATGTAAATACAAACAAGATTGAGAAAATTTAAGCAAGAGCTTATGAAGACTATTCAGCAAGTTATGAAGACATACTCTGCAAATCAAAATGACCACCTTTAAAATTTAGAAGAATGAGATCATTGGCTATTAAAGTTTTCAAAAATTATTATTAAAGCATGTCCTGTTTATCTTCATAGTTTAATCCACTCAAAGAAAGACTCTTACTCTTTTAGATACCAGAATACAGCAGACCTACCACATTTGAGAACAACTGCATATGGCCTACAATCTTTCAAGTATGCGGAATGAGCTACCAGAGGAGCTGCGTAAGCAATCATCTTTAAATCAATTCAAGAACTTGATAAATTCTTGGTCTGGCAGCTAATGAAAATGTTTCGCCTACAAAACCAGTTAACTCTGTTCATTGTATGTAGTTAGTTGCTTTATTTTCACCTTGACAACAATTTTTTTCGTTCAATTATAGTGATTCTTCTATTTTGTGCTTATTTTAGTTACTTAACTAATCTCTATGTGTTTTTTATGTTGCAAACCATTAACTTGTGCTTTTGTCCCATAAGTGCATGCAGTGTTTGTGTTTAAGCTGCTTGATAGAACTTTTTTGTTGTATGTTATCTCTGTAATTTTCATCCACTATTCCATCATAACACCGAAAACTATAACTTAAGATGACATGCCAACTTAATACCTATCAGGTCAAGAACAGTAGCATACTATAATTCTTTTCTTCTAGCTACGATTAGAGACTGGAATAGCTTGTCAGCTGAACTAATTTCAGCAACATCTTTGGCGTGTTTCAAAAGGTTGTTAAAGAAGAATCTCAGTTTGTGTAGTAAAAAAAATATGTGCCCTTAATGACCACTTGTACAAATATAATCTTACATTAAAAAGGTTTTGTAATTTCTGCCCAGGTAACCTTATTGAAAGCACTGAACACTATTTAATTCATTGCGTTGTTACACGAACTATCGGATTACTCTTATACTTGGTATTAAGAATCTGATTTGTCCAGATATAAATATAGCAATGTTGCGGGATCTATGTCCCAACTATCTGAGCAAAATTTTAATAGAAGGTAGTGACGATTAGTCTGATGATACTAATTTAGAGCTGTTTGAGTGTGTGTTTCGATATATTAAATCTTCAAACAGGTTTTCTCGATAGATCAATAACTTATTTGTACTATCTTTTTCTTGTAATAAAACATATTAGGTATGAAACACATACATACACTTATATTATTTTATTTTTATTTATTTAATTTTATTTTCTCTCTTTTGACCTGATTGTACTCAAAATCGTATTTCCATAATTATCATTTTATATTACTGAATTCAACATGATTGTAAAGTCGTGTGCATGTCAGTAAGAATGAGCGAGTGATTGGATGGGTGTGTAGTCAAAATACATTCGAATGTCTTGTTCTGTACATATTGTCTTGTCTTGTGTTAAACAAGTTTGTACACTAAAATAATCTTTGTTAATTGTGAATCTGTATATATCTATGTTGAGGAGACCCACACGTAGCCATTGGCTGTTGGCAATCCTCTTTAAATAGATAAAGAATTGAATTAATAATGTGAACTCTTGCTTTCTATGTTTAATTGAATGCGTGCTTGACTTTATATGTATGTTTTGTTTGTTTTGCTTTTGTGTCGTCGGTTTTAAAAGCCCTTCAGAGCTTACGTTTGAAATTATTGCATACATCGACTTTAAATAAAGCTTTTTGTCTTATGTCTTATTATGTCTTATGTGGGGGTTTGGGGGGGGGGGGGGGGGGGGGGGGGGGGGAACCCTTCCTCATCCTCATTCGGTATCATTGTATGTACTTAAATTCCTCCGATATGCAAAGCTCCGATCGAGAGCTGCGAGGGTACAGTGGAATCGTTGTACACTCCCTATAAGGATTAATGGAGATGTGTCACTAACTTATATACAACCCACCACCACAGACAATTCCCAACCTAACACCAAGGTTATTATGGCGGAGGAAGCCGAAGTCTCGGAGAGAAACACCGGGATCCTCGGTGGAAACAGACAAACCGAAGAGATATCTACAGATTGATCTCCAAGTCAAAGACGGGGGCACTTTAACCTACCGAGGCCCCAAAGTACCAATTCTAGTTTAAACTCCGGTCTTGGTACCAGAGATGTGTGAAGGAGGGTGAACCAGGCCGGGACCTTCAGTACTCTAGCCAACTGTCTTAACCACTGAGCCACGCACCCACACAGTGTACATAGAATAAGATTAATGCAGATCACAAGTTCTACATACAAATGTATGGTCCCTCTACAAAGAGGGTTAAAGATACAGAGGTAAGGTAAAGGGGGCGTGAAAAATATTAAAAATGAAAAAAAAATAGTTTTATAATATATTTTCAAAATCTATGTATCATAAGATAATGTAGAAAATTGTGTTTGATTAGTGCTGTGGAATTGCATGCTAGTGTGTATTGGGTATATTACGGTAAAATGTCAGTCTGCCGGAATAGGCTCATTACCATCCCAGTATCTATCTAAAATTGTTTTTCTGATTTTCGGAACACTGATATCGGTATCTCTCTAGCGTTATCTTTAATGAAAAGGAAGCCAGAAGACGATAAATTGTAAATTTGAGATAAACGGCGCTAAAAACGAAATACATGGATGGTAATCATAACTCATTGTCATTATATGTAGTTGAACTGTAGATTGGTGACCGAAGTTTCTTTTTATGTGAGACCAGTGTTTCCATGGCTGTGGAACCGTAGCTCTCTGTTCAGATTTATTTTTGATGCAAAATTGTTATAAAGATAAATTTAAGGCAAAGTTCATTCATCTAAGACTTGTAAAAGAAAGGCGAAAGATACTAAAGCTTCATTGAGTTTACTAATACCAAGCTATCTACATGCAGTATTTACATCAAAGTCCAAAGCTAGTTATAACAACAATCATATAGAGTTCTTGAAATCTTTTTTTTCCTGGTGGTCATTTTGACCACAAAGACCAAAATTCTGGTGGTCCTAGAGAGTGGGTCTCATTGGGGTCTAAGCGTGACCCGGGATTGCCGATTTTTTGTAAGCGTGACACGTTAAAGTCAAATTATTGTGCCGTGAAAACGGGAAATGAAGTCTAGCGGGACACGGGAAATTACAAAAAAATGAGAATTGCTTACGTACATAGTGTAAGCGGGATACAGGAATCTGACAAAACAGTAAGCGGGATCCGGGATCAGAACCCCCCAATGAGACCCCCTAGAGAAAATTTGGTGGTCCTGCAATATCACTTAATTTTAACCCTATTACTTACTAGGTTTCATCAATAATGGCTCAAAACATTTACTCCATCCTATTTTATGGACATGTTATGTTTTAGCAGGTTTGGTAGTTAATTATACATTTTGGTCTCTGTATAATATAATAATTGGCCATGGCATTATTTCTATGCTTTGATTAAATTTTAAGCTTTAAATGTTTTATGTCTCATTCATTACATTTGAAATTATATATGTGATTACTTTGAAAGACGTTTATAGAATGTCAATGATTTAAATGAAAAAAGAAGTTTATTAATTCCTCATGCAACTCTTCTATTATTGTTATCTTTTTCTTCATCTTACTTGTAACTTCATTGACATTAATTGTTTTTATTTTTAGAATTTAGTACTCTTTTTAAATTAGTACCTGCACATGACCTGGTTTAGCTCCATCTTAATCCTTAAATTTCATGCCCTTCATGTGTTTAGACGATAGAAACAAATATTTACCGCAATACTGTAAATCTAATGTAAATGTTATAAAATTTAAACAAGAATATACTCAAATCAAAATTGTGTTGAACTTTAGAAACTCTGTAGATTTATTAAATGTGTTTCTGTGAAAGTCTATCCTCCTGGTTAAAACAACTATTGTATATTTATTTATCTTTTGTCCAAATATATATTTATAATATTAATTAACAATAATTTGTATTTCACACATGCTATATTCAATATTTGTTATTATTGTAATATTTCTTCTCTGTAACTATGTATTTGGTTTATGAGAATAAAGATCATTCACAATAAAGAAATAAGCAGCAAGTTTTTCTTTGATAATCTGAGAAATTGGAGTAAGTATCAATCAAAATTTAAGGCAGGATCCACAGGAGACCGGTGTACAAAACCAAATAAAATAATACTTGTGGTTCAAGTTACATCTAGAAAAAAATAGGGTTGGTAGGTAGGGATTTTTTTTTATTCCTTGAGTCTATGGGAGCAACATTCTGGCTTAAAAAAAGTGCTTATGAAAAATGACAAAATAATCGTTAGGGTAGGCTATTATTAAGACTAAAAGTAGGGTAGGTAGGCAAACTGGAACCACTCATTAGCTATTATGTCACATATATTTTTATTTGGCCTTAGAGAAACTAAAGGAATATTGAGTTTTAATTCTATGGTAAATAAGTATGTAAAAACACTGTTTATATTTTGGATATTACTTTTAACTCAAATATAGGTAAACCTGTAAACTGTCAAGTAATTTTATTAAAATCATTTCAAAAATAAGTCCAAAAGTTTGCCAGTGAACTGAAATTCCGAAAAAATATGGTTATTACACATCAGAAACTCTCGACCTTCCAAGTGTCATGTTTAACAAAATGACGACATAGTCATCTGAATTTTGTATCATGAATTTAAAAATAACATCCGTAGAACTGATTGCTTCAAATGCTATAGGATCAGATCCCTTGAAACCATTTATAAGTCTGAATCCTCGACATTAATTCCCGTTTTCACATCGGCGGTCAATTTTATAATTGAACTGGTTTCTAACCAAAAATATTACTGTAACTTTGAGCTATACTACAAAGGTTTGTCTGCAGAGCAAACAAGTTCAAAATCATTCTGAATACCAAAAAGTCTCAAAAAAAAACATTGAACAACAACGAACTTTTAGTCGGTCATTGGGACTGACACTACATACAAAACAGTTGGTCCTAGTCGATTTTTGGCGGTCAGGACCGACGGGACCAACAGTTTTCGAGAACTCTGATCATGATTTTCAAACACAGAACAATAATGCTATCGTCATGTCATATGTTTTCGTATCATCCATATTTGCATCGGTTTCGATTGAGCACGCGTACATTGTGACGTGTTTCCTGGTTTCTATTTTCTGAACAACAACAACACTACAACGTGACAAATGTCAAACATATTCAAAGTTTCTTTTAAAGACGTAAGAACAAATTTAATCAAACTTACCTGTTCAGCCATTTTTATCTAATGTCAAAAATATGCATCACTAGAAAAGTTGTTGAGAAAAAAATCTGAAGGGTTACATGAAGTATAGCTATGCTATGAACGTATGGGGTGCAAACGTGTAGGGTGGGATCTTGTATTAGGAGCGAACAGACCCGATACCAATATACAGCAGGTTTTTTTGTCGAGCCTGGGACTTTTGTCGCAGAAAGCTCGACATAGGGATAGCGATCCGGCGGCGGCTATGGCGGCGGCGGCGGCGGCGGCGTTAGCTAACTTCTTAAAACCTTTATATTTTAGAAGATGGAAGACCTGGATGCTTCATACTTTGTATATGGATGCCTCATGTTACGAAGTTTCCGTCAGTCACATGTCCAATGTCCTTGACCTCATTTTCATGGTTCAGTGACTACTTGAAAAAAAAGTTCAGATTTTTTGTAATGTTAACTTCTCTCTTATTATAAGTAATAGGATAACTATATTTGGTATGTGCGTACCTTGCAAGGTCCTCATGCCCGTCAGACAGTTTTCACTTGACCTCGACCTCATTTCATGGATCAGTGAACAAGGTTAAGTTTTCGTGGTCAAGTCCATATCTCAGATACTATAAGCAATAGGTCTAGTATATTCGGTGTATGGAAGGACTGTAAGGTGTACATGTCCAACTGGCAGGTGTCATCTGACCTTGACCTCATTTTCATGGTTCAGTGGTTATAGTTAAGTTTTTGTGTTTTGGTCTGTTTTTCTTATACTGTATGCAATAGGTCTACTATATTAGGTGTATGGAATGATTGTAAGGTGTACATGTCTAGCTGGCAGGTGTCATCTGACCTTGATCTCATTTTCATGGTTCAGTGGTCAAAGTTAAGTTTTTGAGTTTTGGTCTTTTTTTCTAATACTGCATGCAATAGGTCAGCTATATTTGGTGTATGGAATGATTGTAAGGTGTACATGTCTAGCTGGCAGGTGTCATCTTACCTTGACCTCATTTTCATGGTTCAGTGGTCAAAGTTAAGTTTTTTAGTTTTGGTCTTTTTTTCTATCACTATATGCAATAGTTCAACTATATTTGGTGTATGGAAATATTTTATGATCTATATGTCAGTCACGCAGGTTTAATTTGACCTTGACCTCATTTTCAAGGTTCATTGCTCAGTGTTAAGTTTTTGTGTTTTCGTCTGTTTTTCTTAAACTATAAGCAATAGGTCAACTATATTTGTTGTATGGAAGAATTGTTAGCTGTACATGCCTGCCTAGCATGGTTCATCTGACCTTGACCTCATTTTCATGGTTCATTGGTCAATGTTTAGTTTACTTGGTTAATGTGAAGTTTATGTGACAGTTGTAATAAAGCTTTATATTTAGGACTATCAACATAATATCAATGATTAGTAAAGAAGGCGAGACATTTCAGCGTGTGCACTCTTGTTTTTAATATAATGCTTGTTTGAGCCATACAAATTATCTCCATTTGATGCTTTTTTTTTGCAATGATTTATATAGTAAGATACTTACTATATAAATCCTTGGTTTTTGCATTAATATTTGGAAGTTCAGTTTAAAACTTTACATAGGCATAATACAACTTATCTTTATCTATAGACATATGTACACTTGTATGGAACTTGTTAGCCTGGGATCCTGGCTCACTGCTTGCCAGTAGAGCCAGGCAGAATACAATGTATGACATGTATTCTGTTATTGGATGTTAGAAAGATGCATCGTGGGATAGCATAATTTCTTGACACACAATGGGAAAAATTAATATTGCCACAAATTTATTGAAATTATTTTTAAATTTATGAAAATGCCAATTCCTGAAAAAATATGGCATTTATATTCCAAATAGTATTGATTAACATCTTGAAACAGCAGTTAATTAACAATCTGATGGATATGTTCATTAATTATAGAACCATACATGTGCAGTAATTCAGTCCTGTTCAACGCTGAAAAGTGGTCACATGGATTGTATTACGTCTGGCCGTACTGACACGAAGAGGAGGTTAGGCCAGGATGCCAGGCTAGGAACTTGTCTGCCATTACTTGGTCACACAAATCCCCTGCAAAATTTGCATCACAATTAAAAAAACATTTGACTTAATTCTTAAAAGGCAATTGTTATATGATGTCAGAAGGTTAATCAGAGCTACTAGATCTAGGGTCATTCAGAAACAATTCTGCTAAATACTGAAAAAAGTGTTAATACATCTAGAATCCTCCACTACTTGTCATAACAGACATATCATAGTGTGTAATTGAATTTTAAATTAATCATGTTAATAACAGAGCATTCTTTATTGAAGCTTCTGTGATCTTGTATGAGAATGCAAAAAGAATTTATTAAAAAAATCATTACAATCTGGTCTTTGCAGACGTACTGTTCTTAAATCGCACCATGATACATGTAGCTGTATATATAAATATACAAATGTACAAATAAAATTAATAACAAATGTATATATAGATATTAAAACAATTTGTGGGACCATAAAAAATAGATTGAAGATGAGCACCTGATATGTTGCATGACATTGAGGCTGAATAGTTAAACAAAATAAACTTCAGGAGCTCATCATGTAGCACCTTCCTCATATAACATGAGAGAGGTGTTCCCTAAACTGCAGAACTATAGCTCTGTCTAGTGCTGCTATCTGATTTGTGCAGAACATATTTTGTTTGCCAAAAAAATATATGAATCAGGATACCTGTAAAACAAAGATGTAAATGTACCTTTACTGATATAAAGTATATCTATCTGTCTCTGTTTTATGACCCCAATAAATATCCACAAAATTGCAACATTTCCCCAACCCACAAAAAATTGGTCCCCACGAAAATAAATGAATCCATAGAACACTGTACCAGTCTTTCTTTCAAAATCAGATTTCTTTGTAACCATTACTAAAAAAGTAAATGGTACACATTCCATTGTTTTTGTTTTATTGCCATAATACATTTGGTAATCAGATGTATAACACTTTATTATTGTATAAAAATTTAATGAATTATGATAATTTAGTTTACAGGAAAGAATTAGCAGACACAAAGAAAGAACTTGATACTATCAGTATAGAGATTGACAGTCTTTTACAACGTCAGGCTTCTTTACAACAACGTAAAACAGAGTTAGACTCCATTCTGAGGCAAAGTAGTTCGAAGTCAGATGATAATGATAAGAAATGGGATAAACAAGGTAAATTATTGTAACATGTTTTGGAAATGAACAAGTCAGGAAGCCTGTAATTCAGTGGTTGTGGTTTGTTGCTGTATATTACATTTGTTTTTCATTCATTGTTCATGTAGTTTTGTACATAAATCAGGCTGTTAGTTTTCTAGTTTGGATTGTTTTACATTTATCATTTCTGGGCCTTTTATAGCTGACTATGCGGTATGGGTTTTGCTCATTGTTGGAGGTTGTACAGTGACCTATATTTGTTAACTTCTATGTCATTTGATCTCTGGTTGAGAGTTGTCTCATTGGCAATCATACCACATCTTCTTATTTTTATATTAAAGATTAGAGATCTACATGTATTGAGCGATTTAAGTATACTATTCCATAAAAAAATATATTGGACCCAGGAAAGTCACTTCAAAATCCCAACTACAGGTGGGGTTAAAAATACTTTTTTGTACAATTGAAATGTAGGTGAATTCTAAAATTGCCTTTATAGACATTTATGAAAGCAGGAAAGTACATTCCCTGGATACAATTAAAAACCAATTGTTCAAAGAACAATTGAAGGTCTTTCCACATCAATTTTCTAAATAATTGATAGGAAGCTACTTCTGGTTTACTCAAAGTTATTAATAGCGTCAAAGTATAGATTTCTTCATTCTGATTCAATTAATAAATGGTTTCTATATACTTTTGCCTGAAATAAGGGAGATAATTGCCAACTTCCGGTTTAGAAAATGTCACTTCCGGTCTCATATGATAGCTTTATTCACACTGATTCCAGAAATATATAGTTTGTATATACTTATGCCTGTAATAAGGAAGATAATATTCTACTTCCAGTATATAAAATGTCACTTCCGGTCTCAAATGATAGGTTAACCTATGATCATTCAAAAATATATGGTTTCTAGGAATTTTCCATGAAATAAGTGCAAAAAATACTACTTCCAGTTCACTCAAGGTCACTTCCGGTTTACTTTTTTCAAGGTTATATGTCAACCAACAGTTTGCAAAAGACTATGGCTTTATCATGTACCAAGTTGGAGTAATAATTGATTAACCTTAAATTGAATCATTTCAGGGACAATAACTCCTATAAGATATCATTGGATTGTTTCACACCAAATGTATCATATCTTAATCACAATTAAGCAAACATTTTGCACTAGTTCTTTAATTTGTAATTTTAAAAGTGACAGAGGAGATCAAATAACAAGGAAAAGTCAAAATTTAGAATATGACCTTGACCTTTGACCTTGGCCTCAATTTCATTTAAATGAACCAAGGAACTCAAATCAATATACCTTAGGTCTCTATCACTTACCATTCATGCTATACATTTATATATCCCTTATGTAAAATACAGAAGGGGAAATAACTCTCATATGGAGTTAATGTATCGCTTCGGTCAAAATTGGACAAAACATCCTGAGGATATAACAAGCAATTTGGTAAAATAAATTTGTCGCTTTCTTTTACGGTTACGGAGGAGATGCACGCACAAGGAAAACAGTGTTCGGGGAGATAACTCCTACAAAGAAAAGTATTCGGTTAAGCAGGGTCAATTTCAAAGGCGCATAAACTGTTCGATATCATATACGAAACATCTAAGCGACATCTTGCGAAACAAAAATTTATCGCAAGAACAAAATTTGGCGGAAGAAAAAAAAAAAAAAATAATCAGAAGAAAACCAATAGGTCTTTCCACAGGAAAGTGGAAAGACCTAATTAATGCATGTTTTAATGGAACAGCCGTTGATGTCATGTACTGTATATGTACTTTTTTTGCAGTGTATTTATTTTCACGAATTTCTAGTAGGGATATTTTCGCGAAAAAAAATACCCACGAATACAAATGCAGCTTAAATTTATATTTTGTTTATTAAATAAAGACGTAATGAATGCAAATTTTAATATTTTATGAACATATTTATAAATACAAAACTTTTCTTACAAGTCAACAAGTATGTATATTGATTGATAGTCAGATTTCAAATGTCAAAGTTCCCTTATGCGTACTTATATATAAATGAAATAATACTGAAGGTATAAACTAACTTTTACTCACTATTAACATTAGTGTCTTAAGTCTATTTACCTTGTTAAGTTGAAACTCGTAATCACTTAATGCAGAAAGTCTGTTATAATTATTTGATATTTTCGTCAATACCGCGAAATTAAATACATGCTAATTCATCTGCAATACCGATTTCACAAAAATAAGTACATGGGAAAAAAAGTACATTTACAGTATTTTCAAAACAAATATCATCCCATTCATTATTTCATTTAATGATTTTTCTAAAACTGTTTAAAAAAGAAAATTTTCACTTTGAATTTGTTTCTTCGTGGCAATTTGCAAATTACCAGTACACAAACTAAATTGTATGGATAGTTCTGTGTGTAAAAAGGATAAACATTTCATGGCACAATTCCTGTAAAATTCATAGAATTTATTTCTTAAATCTGTTTTAGATTTTGTATGGAGTAATAATCTGCTGGAAAAGATGGGATCAGTCTTTAACATACAAACTTTACGTCCTATGCAGTTACAGACCATGAATGTGACAATGTCTTGTAAAGACTGTATGTTGATAATGCCGACAGGAGGAGGGAAAAGTTTATGTTTCCAGTTACCAGCCCTCTTGTCCAAGGGTAAGTATGTTTGAAAATCCCAAGCAAGTGTGTAAGTTTAGAGTGATACAAAATTAAAAAAGTTTGAAAGTATGCATGACTTTGTGGCATTTCTTATATTAGCCCTTGTATGAAACCAAATAACCAAAGTTAAGTCACAAGAAAAAAAAAATAACAAGTCAACAGTATAATGTTGACAAAACAGAAGATAATTATGCAAAATATTATATGTTTATTAGAAGATGTGAAATGGTCTCCTTCTAAACTATTTTTGTTTGCTATTTTAATAAAAAACATACCACACCCAATGAAACAGTATTCAGTTTTGTAGTTGAGAATTCAGTGTATATCTAATGTTATTAACCTTATGTTAAGAATTGTGTAGAAACAGTTTCATTTTCTAATTACAAGGATGTAATGCAGCAGTTATAACAATTTTTACAATAACACAATCTCACCTAGCAATCATTTTTATACGCCCGTTTACGGGACGTATTATGGTATACCGTTGTCCGTCTGTCTGTCCGTCCGTCTGTCCGTCGTCAACATGTCGGACATTAACTCAAAAATGCTTTAACCAATTTGCATAAAATTTTGGTGAATTGTTTATATCTATTGACGTGAGCTCCCTTTCGTTTTTTATGAAATTTAGATTTTACATTTTTGAGTTATGGGGTTTTATTCATTAAAAAAAGGGGGATTTTCCAGTTTTCGGACAATAACTCAAGAATGCTTTCACCAACTTGCAAGAAATTGTGGTTAATTGTTTATATCTATTGACATGAGCTCCCTTTTGATTTTTATAAATTTTAGATTTTACGCTTCTGAGTGAGAGGGTTACGCCCGTTTACGGGACGTATTATGGTATACCGTTGTCCGTCTGTCCGTCCGTCCGTCTGTCCGTCGTCAACATGTCGGACATTAACTCAAAAATGCTTTAACCAATTTGCATAAAACTTTGGTGAATTGTTTATATCTATTGACGTGAGCTCCCTTTCGTTTTTTATAAAATTTAGATTTTACATTTTCGAGTTATGGGGTTTTATTCATTAAAAAAAGGGGGGATTTTCCAGTTTTCGGACAATAACTCAAGAATGCTTTCACCAACTTGCAAGAAATTTTGGTTAATTGTTTATATCTATTGACATGAGCTCCCTTTTGATTTTTATAAATTTTAGATTTTACGCTTCTGAGTGAGAGGGTTTTATTCATAAAAAAGGGGGGATTTTCCAGTTTTCTGACAAAAACTCAAAAATGCTTTCAGCAATTCTTATGAAGCTTTGGTGAATTGTTTGTATGTATTGATGTAAGCTCCCTTTAGAATTTTATAAATTTTACATTTTTACATTTCTGAGTTATGGGGTTTTATTCATTAAAAAAAGGGGTGATTTTCCAGTTTTCGGACAATAACTCAAAAATGCTGTCACCAATTCTCATGAAACTTTGGTGAATTGTTTATATCTATTGATGTAAGCTCCCTTTTTATTTTCATAAATTTCTAATATGACATTGAGAATTAATTGAACTTTATTCGTTTATAGTCTGACAACAGATTTACTAAGTATTGCACAACAGCAAGAAATCTTTAATTGAACATAAATTCAATTCATATAACAAATTTCAAGTTCTTTGACTACATTTATTCAGAAACCTATAATATGTCAAATATTTGATTACAATCCAAATTCAGACCTGAATCAAGCTTGAATATTGTGTCCATTTTTGCCCCAACTGTTCAGGGTTGGACCTCTGCGGGCATATCTAGCCGGCTCAGCGAAGCATTTTTTAATTTTCCCTGGCAGTCTCTTTTTAGCATACTGACCTTGAGTGTGGGAGGATTGTGTGTTTTATACCGGGTAAGGTCAAGTAGAAGACTATAAAATAGTACTGTTTTCACTTCCTCTCCATCTATCACACACCATTCAAGAATAAAAGCAAGCATTGGATGATTTTGAGTCAGAATAATATGAATATGTAGGATCAGTTGTCTACTTGAGGACAATCATCATGCATGCCATAAAATTCTGATTCACTGTGTAGGTCCAAACAAAACCGGGTATATCCTCAATATGATTGAGTTGATCCACCAATTATTTATTTCACCCTGAAAAATATTAATAAATATTTATCAGACGGTATTTAGCAGTCAATCAATCAGTTGATCCAAGCACAGACAAATCTGCTACAAAGGTGAACTCGAATCAGGGAAAAACTGTCAGGTCACTCTCTTCTTGTATTAACACAGACTCATTTTTGAACCTCAACTTAGAGATCACCTCTTTTATAAGGGTAGTTTCATTTAGTCCAAAGGGTGGCCTTTATATACAGGTTTTACTGTCTTTTACGTTTGGTTAATTGTATTTATTGATGTATTACAGGTATTACCTTAGTTGTCTCCCCTTTAGTCTCTTTAATGGAAGATCAGATCATGGCATTGGAAAAATATGGAATTGATGCTACAAAACTGGATGCCTCAGCCAGCAAAGAAAAAGTAAAAGCTGTTCAGGAGGCTATGTTGGAGAAAAATGCTAGTCTCAAACTGTTATACGTTACACCAGAAAAACTGGCAAAAAGTAAAAGGTTTATGGCAAAACTGGAGAAAATGTACCAGACAGGGAGGTTTTCTAGACTAGTGATTGATGAAGTTCATTGTTGTTCACAGTGGGGGCATGATTTCCGTCCTGGTAAATATATCAGATATATGTATAAGTTTTATGGTATACAAATGTCCGGCGTCCGTCCGTCTGTCTGTCCGTCTGTCCGTCTGTCTGTCCGGCGTAAACATGTCGCACCGTAACTTGAGAATGACTTATCCAAATTTCATGAAACTTTACATAGTTGTGTCTTATGATGGTCAAACGATCTGTATACTTTTTGGTGAAAATTAGATTAAAACTTTTTGAGTTACGGGACTTAGTAACTAAAACAGGTGTGTGTTTTTTTTCACATGTCGCGCCGTATCTCAGAAACAATTTATGATTATTGCTTTAAACTTTACATACTTCTTAGTTATATTAATCTTAAGATCTGTATAATTTTTGGTGATGATTCAAAATTTTATTTTAGAGATATTGAGTATTTTGTTAAAAAAGGGGGAGGGGTTTTTCACATGTCGCGCCGTATCTCAAAAACAGTTTATGATTATTGCTTAAAACTTTACACACTTCTTAGTTATATTAACCTTAAGATCTGTATATTTTTTGGTGATGATTCAAAATTTTATTTTTGAGTTATTGAGTATTTTGTAAAAAAAGGGGAGGGGTTTTTCACATGTCGCGCCGTATCTCAAAAACGATTTATGATTATTGCTTAAAATTTTACACACTTTTTAGTTATATTAATCTAAAGATCTGTATACTTTTTGGTTTTGATTCAAAATTTTATTTTTGAGATATTGATTTTTTTTTTTTTTTAAAAGGGGGAGGGGGGGGGTTTCACATGTCGCGCTGTATCTCAAAAACGATTTATGATTATTGCTTAAAATTTTACACACTTCTTAGTTATATTAATCTAAAGATCTGGATACTTTTTGGTTTTGATTCAAAATTTTGTTTTAGAGATATTGAGTTTTTTGTAAAAAAAAAAAGGGGGTTTTGGCATGTCACGCCGTATGTCAGAAACTATTTATGCTTATTGCATAAAAATTCACACACAAGATGACGGGCGTATCATGCGCTCATGGCGCAGCTGTTTATTATTTATATGAATAAAAGGAGATAGAGGGTAAACTAAAAAAAAAAAATCTTTGGGTCAACATATGATCTTCATACAGAGACTAACAAATATCTTTTATAATTACAAAATTCAAAGTGAACAAAATACATGAAGGAAAAAAGTCATGGACAGGAACATTACTTTATTATAATTCAACTAGTTGTATGAGTACTCAGTCCTTTCCTTTTATGTTGATCTTTAAGTATAGAGAAAAAAGAAATAAGAAAATTAATTCAGAATAAGTGCCTAACTTAATTTTTATTTTTGATAAAAAAGAACACAGTGTTAAGATAATTCTAAAAATTTCTGTATCAAAGGATGGTTGCAGATAATGAAAGGTTGCTTGAAATATATTTCAGATTACAAGTTTTTAGGTATTATGAAGCGACAGTTTCCAGAAGTTCCTATTCTTGGTTTAACAGCAACAGCTACTACTAAAGTGTTGGAGGACGTCAAGAAAATATTAAATATACCAAACTGTCATCTGTTCAAAGCTTCATTTAACAGACCAAATCTATTTTATGAGGTACAAAGTAAAAAATCACTGAAAAGAAACAGTACACTTTATAACAGGTTATTTACCAGGTGTGGTGACACACAGTTTTCATATTGTCATTTATGTTTATTTGCCATTTGCCAAAAACAATGCTTGAGCAAACTGAAAATAGTCAAATTTAATATTTTACTGATAAAGCCATTATGGAGAAAACAATTATTCTGATGCTTGATAAATTATTTTGTAGTATTTATCGTCTTGTTTACACTGAAATTATTGAAAGTGAGACTCATGAATGTTAATCCTAATTTGCATCAATGTTTAAAGCTGGTTTAAAGTTTCAATTTGGCATATGTGTATTGTTCCTGACCTCATTTCCATGGTTCAGTGACTGAATAAAAACTGCATAGGTTTAGTGATAAGGTGGTCTATATCTTAAATCAAAATTGTTTTGGTATAAAATCACATTTCACCCATCTCTTGGCTTTCAAACTCTATTTTGACATTGTCATTTGAGCATAATGTTATGTTAAAATTGTTAAACAAAATGTTTCATGACTGTGTTGTGAAAGTTCAATTTTCTGTGTTTTTGGGTATACAATTTTGTCACACAATTCAAAATAATATTATACATATATTTTATTTTACATATATTTTAGGTAAAAGTTAAACCATCAGCATTTAAAGAAACAATATCAGAGATGGTAGAATTAATTGATAAAAGATTCAGAAACCAATCAGGTAAGTGATGAAACTTATTGAGTAACTAATCAAGGAATTATAGCTATATTCACAAGCAGGGTTTGCACTAAGGATTTTTATGCCCCACCTACAATAGTAGAGGGGCATTTTGTTTATCAGTCTGTGCGTCCTTTCGTTCGTCCATCCGTTCGTCCGTATGTCCCGCTTCAGGTTTAAGTTTTTGGTCAAGGTTGTTTTTGATGAAGTTGAAGTCCAATCAACTTGAAACTTAGTACACATGTTCCCTATGATATGATCTTTCTAATTTTAATGCCAAAATAGAGTTTTGGTCCCAATTTCACGGTCCACTGAACATAGAAAATGATAGTGCGAATGGGGCATCCATGTACTATGGACACATTCTTGTTTAAGATTAGTCCAGGGACTAATCATTGTTGCCCATGGTGAGTCCAACAGTGAGAAGATCAAAATTTGTTGCTATATAAATTATTTCAGTCTCCATGACAAAATAGAGCAAGAAAATAACATCAAATTTAGAATATTTTTAAACTATTGTTATAAAATGATGTTATTTGTGCTTAGTTGATGCAACATTTTACAATCTTGATGCATCTTTAGACTCACCAGTTTTGAAAATGATCAGTCCTGATAGATTTTGAAGAGTCCAAGTGACACAACCTATGAATTCACAACTCTGTGTAGGGCATGAGTTAATTATCAATGTTGTTCAGTCACAAGTTGAATATTTTTCGATATTTGAATTTTTGGATAAATTATTCTTTTTATTACATTAACCATGGACTTTTGATGGAAACAAAATAGAAAATGCAAGGAACTATATCTTTTCCTACACATTCTCAATTTATTTTGAGGCAATATCATCATCAATGTCTTGACAGCCCTCATTGTTTTATGAAGTCAGAGGAGTAAAATTATCTGATTTATTTTACTGGGAAATCACATTATTTCATTGCAACTAGAGTAATAAAAACATTATTTAGTATAAGCTGAAAAAAGTAGTTACTTTATAAAATCTTTATGATATATACCGAGAGAAATATCAAAGTTCAATATCAATATTAAACATATTACAATGACAAATTTCTTATCTTGCAATACATGGATGGTTTATAGAGTTAAATATTGAAGATGTTGATTACTCAAAATTTCTCAAATTTAAAGTTGTAAGAGACTAGTGGCTTTGACATGTATATTTGTTTTCCGAAATGTTTATTCATTTTACCTAAATGCATATTTGTCAGAGAGAGCTTTGATATATAATAAAAGATCCCTGATCTTTAGCTTTATGAGAAAATAACAAAATTGAAAGACAGAATTTGTTTTTCGTTTCTAGGTATTGTGTACTGTTTTACACAAAAAGAATCTGAAGAGGTTACAAAGGAGTTGAGACAACATGGAATAAAGGCAGGGTGTTACCATGCCAACATACCAACTAAACAAAAAAGTCAGATACACGAGATGTGGCTAGCAGATAAAATTTTGGTGAGTTTTAGTTTTAGTGTTATTTGCTTATTCATAACTCAGTTCTAACTTTGGGAGCATACATGTAGTCTTCTTCTGTCCATGTATTAGTCACAACTTATCATCTTCAACAACTGTAGATTTGTGATGGGCAACTATTTATTTTTTTTTATCAGAAAAAGGGAACATTGACATTTTCCATTCATAGTTTTTTTTTGCTTTTTATCAGTGGGCTATCAAGAAAAAAACTGCCTATATTTTGGTATCAATTTATTCTATGCCATTAGTTTATCTCTTTTATAATCACAACATGTTTCTGTAAAAAAACACAGAACATTTTATTTTTACTTTCTGGCCCCTTTTAACTCTAAAAGTGCAATTTCAAGGGTCAAATAATGGCTCTCATCATACCTTCTCCTTTGGCACAATTGATCATCAAAACCAATTGAATTTTGTATTTAATATACTAGTAGTAGTAAGGTGTAGTGAATTTAGATTTCTAATTGAATCTCACTTTGTGCTAAGATAACCATGCCTGCTCTATCTGTACAGATGTTGATCTATAGATAAAGAACTTGATGCAGCAGTACTGTAAATTCAGAAATTATTGCATGCATTTATTATTGCAATTTTTTAAGAATGGACACCAATGCGAGATTAATTATTGCTATTTCAGAAAAATCTGCATACATATACATGCATCTTATATCATAATGTGAGTTCTTATTATTGCGATACTGACCCAGTCGCATTATTCGCATTAATAAAAACCTCGCAATAATTTCTGAATTTACAGTAGTTTCAAATACATTATATATACAATTTTCATTATCAACCAAAAAACAATACAAGAAAGGGATTCTTTTTTAAAACAATTTTCCCCCACTGAAACCAATGTTTTAATGATTTCCATTAAAAAGTGCTTATATATGTGCCTGTCCCAAGTCAGGAGCCTGTAATTCAGTGGTTGTCATTTGTTGCTGTATATCATATTTGTTTTTATTTGTTCATTATTTTGTACATAAATCAGGCCGTAAGTTTTCTCGTTTGATTTGTTTCACATTTGTCATTTCGAGGCCTTTTATAGCTGACTGCAGTATGGGTTTTGCTCATTGTTGAAGGCCGTATGGTGAATTATAGTGGTTAATTTCTATGTCATTTGGTCTCTTGTGGAGAGTTGTCTCATTGGCAATATACCACATCTTACTATTTTTATATTTATATTGCATGTAAACATATAAAATCGGAAGAATCTTTTTTGTCCTTTAAAGTAACTAGCATTTAGGTTAATCCTTGAAATTACTATATGCAAAACATGAGAAGCAAAACATTGTCAGATATAATATAAGAGGCTTGTATATAGTCTTGTATTAAAGGTTATTGTGGCTACTGTTGCCTTTGGCATGGGAATAGACAAACCTAATGTCAGATTTGTAATTCATCACTCTATCAGTAAATCAATGGAGAATTTATACCAAGAAAGTGGACGAGCAGGGCGAGACGACCAGAGATCAGATTGTATTGTATACTACAGATTTGCTGATGTATTTAAACAGAGTACTATGGTATTTACAGAACAGACTGGTTTAGACAATGTCTATGGTGTTATGTCCTACTGTTTAGACATATCTAAGTAAGTACATAAACATGTTTGTATACAGAACAGACTGGTTTAGACAATGTCTATGGTGTTGTGTCCTACTGTTTAGACATATCTAAGTAAGTACATGAACATGTTTGTATACACTATATATTGGAAATTCTGTGCAGTCTTTTCTATCTGTATTGGTATATGTAACAAACAGGATAAGTTTGAGCTGAAATTATGACATTCTTAAATAACTTAGTTTTAAAAATAGAAGAACTGATTTAGAAAGGCATAGACAATGCAATCAAACAGTTCCTATGTTTTTTGTCATCATTAAAGACTTACAGGATCAGTGCCTTAAGTGGTTGTTATCCCATCATAGTCCACCAATTTTTGTAATATGAAAAAGATGAAATCCTACACAGGCAAAATTTGCTCAAATGAATTTCACATGAAATTCATGTGAAAAATTATTCACCTCAAACGAGCTTTTACATGAAAATCACGTGAAAATTTTCATGTGAATTTCACGTGAATTGAGATTCACATGAATCTCACATGAAATTTTTCACATGAATTTCACGTGAACTTTACAACAACAAAAAATTGGTATTTTTCATAATTTTAATTAAATTTGAAAATTTAGATGTTATTTGATTACTTGATTTTACAAATTCATGTAATTTTCAAATGAGATTCATGTGAAACTCATATAAACTGATTTCATGTGAGTTTTGCGTATAAGCTCGTTTTAGGTGAAATTCATGTGAGATTTCCCTGTGTATTGTTGAAAAATGTGAAGAAAGATTGAATTTGTTTTTAAAGTTTTTTTTTTATCGAAATGACAGTTTCCATATAACATTTTGCTTTAGATGTAGAAGAGCATCAATAGCTAGACATTTTGGAGAGTTGTGGGACAAATCACAGTGTAACAAGATGTGTGATCATTGTAATAAAGACACAGTAGGTAAGTAGGGTAAAGACTTGGTATGTAAAAAAATTATAATATTTAAGAGCAAAATAGTTTAAATGTATTAAGAATATGGTAATTAGAAAGAAGTACTCTCATGTTCTTAAGATTTGAAAGGTATGAAAGGGTGTAATTCTCATTTCCCATTGGTAATTAATTTTTCCAATGATCCGGCAGGTGGTTTAGTAATAGTAACCTTGACCTATTGTCCCCAAATTGAATAGACTTGTTCCCCCTTCCTTATATCTTCAATACGTTTATGTTTCATTCCTAGCAAGTAAGAGAAACTCAAGGAAAATTTGTGCATTTTAAAAGTTTTGATCAGAAAATGAAAACTAACTCTCCTTTAGAGTATATAAATTTTCTAAGTGACTCACTGGATTCAATATAAAATTTTGGTAAAATGCTGATTATCATTGAAACTTGTCTATTTTACAGGGGAAAAGAGAGATGTCACAAAACTAGGAATAAATGCTTTAACAATAATAGACCAAGCATCTGCTACAGATCAAAGAATAACTGCATTGAAACTGTTAGATGCATGGGAGGGTAAAGGTGCAGGCTCATTAAAAGTCAGAGGTCTGGACCCTCCTAAAGTATCCAGAGACAAGCTTGAGAGAATTGTTGGCCACATGTTGTTACAAGGTTTTATAAGAGAGGATTTTCACTTCACTCCGTACAGCACAATAAGTTATCTTGTTGCAGGTAAATACAAACAAGTACAATTGTTTAAAAATGGGGAAGAATATTTTTTTGGTCGAAAATTTGTGAAGAAAAAATACCCCAAGCAATCATAAAAAGTTTTGCTTTCAACTGGAAAAAATGTTTTAAAATTCTTAAACTTTTGTTAATTTCCATCCTGTCAGACATATTTTGACAGCTATAGTAATGATGTCCATTTTGACAGTGACCAGCACTACTTCTGGGATAGTTATCGTTTTTTCTGTTGTTGCATGCCGTACAATGTTTTCCTTAAAAGTCTGAAATGCCTTATATTTTTAGGATTTTGGTAGTCTACTTTTTAGTAAATTAAAAAAGATATTGAATGAAAATTCTCACACTGCATTCAATGCTTTTTTCACTTCTAAAAGATTAAAGACAAAATGCAAGCCTTAACAATGTCATGAGGTCTCATGACAAATAAGAAACTGATTTATTTTAAAGTTTAGACTGGCACTGAAGAAACAAAATGTTCATAAATTCTTTTCAGTTTTAAGCCATAAAATAGAGAAAACTGTGGTGTTGCATAGATAAACAAGAAATTCATGTTACAGGATTCATTATTTCTTTATTTGATTGATTGAATGATTGGTGTTTAACACCACTTTCAGCACTATTGTGCTATTTTGTTGCAGTCATTTTTTTTTAGTGGAGGAAGCCGGAGAACCACCGACCTTCTTTAATTGAATGGATATTTCTTTTAATGCATTTTCCCTCATTTTCCTGTAATGATCAGATCAGCAACCATTGATTGTTTTTCGAGTATTGTTATGATTAAGTATTTCATTTTTATATTCAAATTTGTTGACTGGTTAAAATAATCAAAATATAATCAAAGTATGAGAAAAAAGAAAGCAATCTACACAAATGCAGACAAAAATAAACAACTGAAATTTGCATGGATTTGACATAAGTTGAAACAATTAGCAATGATTTGACATCATATTAAGGGATTTAGGTTACTGTAACTTTTTGTACATTGCACAGCCTGTTACAGGGAATTATATTTCCCTTAAACATTAGATATATCAAACTTTTAATGCAAATATTTTTTAAATTTCATAATGTTTATACTTATCTCATGTTATATAGCATAGCTTTAAAAACTCTCTCACAAACTTGAAATTATAACAGATACTGTTAATTCAGAATGTATTACATGAAAACATTTTTGCTAAGCCTTGGCATGCAATGTTATAGTACATCAGGATTGATTAATGTGATTCATATACATGTGATATATGAATAGTGCCAGATTCCACTCAGTATTATTGAATAAATTAAAAAAACTTGCCAAACAGTGGTATTACAAAAAAAGATTTAAAGCAAGCAAATGGTTCACTTCTTTTAGAAGATTACAAAGTCAGAGATGTTTTAAAGAAGCAATATTTACACAGCTTTTCAGTTTACTGTACAAAGCTAAGAAAGACTTGATCCCTTTTTGAATATTTTTAGGGGCAAAGGCGAACTTGTTAAAAAGTGAATCAGCAAAATTAGCAGTGGAGTTTCTCAGTAAAAGAAGATCACTACCAACTCAGAATTCCAACACACACACTTCACCATCATCACAAAGTGATCATAAACCTCTAGCCAAACAGAGTGATTCAAAACCAAAACTTGTTGTTATCAATTCTGAAAATTCTAAATTCTCAAACTTTACTGGAACTTCCATTAATCAGAGTAGTCAAGATAAAAATGACTTTACAAAAACAAAAGATTCGGGCAAATTAAAACGGAAGAAGCCGGTCATAGATGACTCTGACAGTGATGATCTTGACTTTGGGGAAGAATTTAAAAGAAAACCTGCGATGAAAAAGAAATCATCTCGGGATACAAGGTCTTCAGAATCTGAACCTATTAGTGGCAGTCACAGTAACAATTGTTCAAACTCAGAATCTCTTAATGGGAACCTTTGTGAACATCATGGTGCTGAATCTGGGAATGATTCAGATGTTATTATTGAAAATATTGGAAAATCAAAAGCCATTATGATTGATTCTGAGTGAATAAAATAAAAAACAACCTTAAGGTTATAGTATCAGAGTCTAAGACCCTGTTCACACTAGAATTTTTTGAATCAGTCTTAATTTGAATCGATCTAAATAAAACCAGTTAGCGCTCACATTATCTTTAATCCTAACGATCTCTATCGGGCTTATCTGAACCACTGCGTTCACACTACAAGTAAACATGCAATCAATCTAACTTATTACCCGGGAAATTGTAAACACTGTGTATAAATAGAAATATTAATTTAAATTAACATGTTGATAAACACCCTTGCAAAAAATAATGGATGGAGTAATTGTTTCACTTGAATTACAAGTTTAAATGTTGATACTGCTGTTCATATAGTTTTCATTAATTTTCAGCCCTTTTATGCTGGACATCCATTTTATAATAAATTGCATATGTAATTTTTCCGCCATACATGCACACAAATTATTTTTGATTCAATCGTACTAGTTTAGATCGATATCTGCGTTCACATTTAAAGTTAGAAAAGATCGATTAAAACTGAACTACCTCTTTTGGTGTTTTAATTTAGACCAATTCAAGATCGATTCAAAGCGTTCACATTGGGCTTAAATCGATGTAAAGTGAACTGATCTAGTATAAATCGATCTAAATGTCCAAGTGTGAACGGGGTCTTATGCACAACATAAATGCAGGCATCCATCATGGAAATGTGTAGCACAAAATAATGCTCGATGTGATCAAATGCTGCATTCAGGTTCAAATAGATAGGGATTTTTTTTTGTATGAGAACAGAAATTCCATTCAGCTGTTGTAATACCTTTTCTGGTCATTGAAACAAGTAGTTTTTTATTCAAACATTTCTTTCATTCAATTTGTTATGTTGATAATTTTCAATGTTACTTCATTTGATATTGATTTTTATCAGGATAATTGACAACATAAATGTACAAAAGTTTTTAAAAAAGGGTTATTGACTACCAACCAGATTAATTTATTGAAAAATACCCAACTGCCATATCAAGACTCCAAGTCAGCATTGGAAGTAATACATTTTGGAAAGGAAAGACTCAATGATTACTCATTAAAAATATGATTGTCACCTTTATGAAAATTATATTTGTGAAGCAAAAAAGTAAGATTTGAAAGAAAATTTGTATTCTCTTTGTGAGTTTTTTTTAATTGCAATTCATAACAGTTGAGATAAAGAAACTGTGATTAGAGGGACAAATATAGATTTTATTGGAATACAGCTCAATTGATAGTATGATGTTTCTTAAGTTTGAAGATTGGAATCGTCTTTAATACTCTGTTAGCTATGACTTCCAGAATTCCTTGATGAAACTTGTCATTTATGAAAAAAGGGAAAGACAAAAAATGAGCAATGAAAGACCATATGTCAAATAAAATCAGACAACAAAATGGAAAAAAACAATAATGGCAATAAGATAATCAACAGTCCACAAAAAACTATAGAACGAGCAAAAACAAACCCTGCCAAAATCTTGGGGTGGTTCATTGCACTTGTAATTACACATTGCAAGTAACAAATCTGTGATAAGTGGCATTCCTTGATAAGAAGATTGAATGGTGGCTTTGACCAGCGAGCATGTCAGAGGTCACCTGTGACAGATATTTCATAATGGTAAAATAGAGATTTGCTCTATAAAATTTTTAAATGGATGACTTCAAGTTTTCTATTTAGGATTCTTGGTTCCGCAACTTTGCATTAAGCAGTACCTTGTCTTAAGGAAATCATGATGGGGAAAATGCATGCCCTGAAATATGGTATCATCCATGAGATATTTTCAAGTCTGCAACATATGTTGACTTACATCTAGAAATTGACAATGAGGGTCGGTTTAGAACAAAACTTTACTAAAAAAGATGATTTCAGCTTACCAAATGTGAACTTTCTACCTCTTTGTAGCCACATTCCAGCAGCACCTGCATATAGAGTATATATCTCCCAGTTGATATGATATTCCGGAGCTTACATTTCCTATCATGATTTCATTGATAGAGGGTTGGGGCTTACAGAGAGGCTATTGAGGCTATAGAGTTCCATCCCTTTGGAAATTTTACGGATGCCATCACGAATTGGTTAACCATTATTGAATATCTGTTTGATATGATTCAAATGATGGATATGTTCCAATTGTAACCCCTAAATTGTCCTCTTTTTCCTTGAGTATGACCTACCGAATTAGACTCATCACAGGGTTTGTACATGAGCAACACGACCGTGCCACATGTGAAGCAGGATATGCTTACCCTTCCGGAGCATCCGAGATCACAACGATTTTCGTTGGAGTTGGTGTTGCTCAGTCTTTAGTTTTCTATGTTGTGTTTTGTGTATTTTTTGTCTTTTCGTTTTTTTGCCATGTCATTGTCAATTTGTTTTCGACTTGTGAGTTTGAATATCCCTTTGGTATCCTTCACCTCTTTTTTACATTTGCAGGGTCTAATGGAATTTTGCTACAACTAAATTGAATATTTACATAAGATAATTGAAATCATCTCTTATAATGTTTTTTCTCAACGAGCTGTCAGCAATCATTGTCAATTTCAAGATGCAAATCAAGATATGAAGCAGACTTAACTGTATCAGTAGTTTCCTTTGTTTACGTTCAGTGGGATAGAGGGATTGACATAGTCACCAACTTTTGAATTATTCAGTGAAAAGGCGTCATGTATTTAGGAGAACGTAAAGATTAAGGTTATAGCTAGGTTCTGTTCTATTTTCGTGTGGAGCCCTTGTGAACAAGTTAGCAATAAGAAGAACAAAGGTTGTTAGAATAGGAATGTCAATTGTCAGTTGAAAAACGTTCCAAACATAACAAATAAACGGTTATTAAAAAATAAGCTTAAGTCATATCCAGAGAACTTTTTTGTTTGAATCCGATGGTCTTTTGTCTTGCTCTTCATACTTTCATCGCAGAGTGAAAACCGACTGAGGTGACGGCATAATCTATTTGTATAAAGCTTTATATTTCAGAAATTAGAAGACATGGATACCACATATCTAGTATTCAGATGCCTAATGTTCTTTAGTTTCATCTTTGCATATGCAAGTTGACCTTGACTTTATTTTCATGGTCTAGGGATTGCTGAAAAACCTATTTTTTATCACCTGACTTTCTCACTTAGTATAACTGTATTTGGTTTCATAGAACAATTGCAGGTATACTTATTCGTCATACATGGTTCACCTGACCTTGAACTCATTACATGAATAAGTGATCAGCATTAAATTTGCTCTCATTTTTTTAGTTACTATAAGCAATAGGTCAACTATATTTGGCGTTGGAATGATTGTGAGTTGGATATGTTCGTCTGGCATGGTTCATATAAACTTGACCTCATTCTTACGAAGCATTGATGATGTAAAGTGGATTTGATACTTGTATTAAGTTTTTTTTTAAACAAACTTGGTGTATGATATGCAATTAAAAAGTTTAATTACCTGGAGGCCGGTATTATATTAACATATTAATCGATAAATCCGATGTATAAAACGAAATATCTAAATTCTTCAAAACCGATAGGAAGTTTTCGTAGAACCAAACAAAAAAAAAAACAAAAAAAAAAAATCGAGTAAGCGTTTCTGGATAATTGCAAGATATATAGTCTGACAGTTTCATACTTTTATACAATCGTTATTGAAAAGGATTTATAAAGTAGTTTTCAAAATTACAAGTTAAGAGAGGATGGTGTGTATGAGTTCAAGAAATTGTTAAGTTTGCTAAAAATCTTGCAGGTTTTTATTAAAAGCTATGTTTGTTTTGCAGATGCATATGGATAAGATTATTAGATTTGAATTGTTTTAAGTCCAGCTTAGAAAAACTAATATACAAAATTACTCAATTTAATGTAAGCTCATAACCACTATGTTTAGATTTAATTGATCTCGTTGTTCATTCACAGCGTGTGTAGACATACCGCAAATTGGAAGTAGTAAAGTCGATGGCGTAAAATTTACGAAGGGATGATTTCAACTTCACCATTTGTATGCCCGTTCTTGTCCCCGAAAAGCAGACACTATCAATGGGGTATTTAAATAATTCTGTTCATTGTGATATAGATATTTAGTGTTTAAAACAAGTATTGAATGATGTTACAAATCCGAAATTTCAGTCAAATATATTAATGATGTGTGTATCATTTGATACATGAAACCAAAATGCAGGGAAATCAACTTTTGTAGAAATAACACAGTAGCAGTTTCTTACATGCTATCTGCAATGCTTCCTTTTCGCTTCGTTAATTAATTAAGTATATGACTGAACAAATTGTCTTAAGTTCGGATATTATATGTTTGAGATGTTTAAGATATATACATCTTTTTATATTTACAATTTACAATGGTACTTTGAAGTCCTTTAAAACGGTTCATACTGACAGACATGTCTCTGATACTGGCTGCCTCAATCTGAAAACAACGTCAATGCCTTCCTATAAATGAAGGTGATCACGGAAATCGATGTGTTTATTTGGTGTATTGAGGATTTTGGATTGTGGAGTTAGATATACTCAGGTCAAACACACTTAGTTAATCTCGATTTCTTTCTTTTTATTAAAGACCACTATGTGTACTTGGAAAATCAAGCACTGTCAAAACAAAACTCATTTCTACCTATTTTTGATCATTTTTAGCTAGTGTTCGAAATCTTGGATTGACTGATAATATATTGTCCAATGTCTGATTGTTTGCTTAATCTTTTTTGTAAGCCTGGTATCTGCGATGAGTTTTTAACCGGATTTTCGAAGTAAAAATCGGTTATTGATTTGGGGATGTACGGCGGGCGGCTGCCAAACAGTGTCCGTTCATTAACATGAAAATGCTTTGAAGATTTTTTTTTCAAATTTTGATATGTTGTTTCCTGTGACTAAATGGAGGTCAAGTTTAATTTTCATGATTTTAGCTTTCTCGTTCAGTTATAGCCCTTTCCGAAGAATTCAATTTTTGATGAATTAATCCTTCTGTACAAAGGGAAATAACTCATTTCTTAAAAGATTTTTAAAAGACATTGTACTAATGATAAATGACATTTGGATTTTTTTTCTTTGGTAAATTGTTTGAAGAATTTTGTGGTAGGTTTGTTTGTTATTCTGTATAAACCAATTTTCTGAATGCTATATATATAATTTTTTTTTGAAATAGACTCCTTTTATTAGATAATAATCTATTTTTATTAAAGGATATGTTTCATTACATTACATTGTGTAGGTAAAGTTGATAGATAAGTTGCAGATCTATATTAGTTTGTGACAAATGAAAGAAAAAATATTTGGAACTATTAATTATATTTGATTATAATTTAAAAATAGATATACATTGTGTTACATCATATCTAATTTTAAAGAATTATTTTTAGTGACATATCTAATAAGAGTACCATGTTAAACCATATTTCTGTTCAAAGGGAAATAACTCAAACTTATTCCAGGAACCAGTAATGATAACATCAAAATTTCTTTATAACTATTTTTTTTTAAAGTCACGTGTGTTATGAAGGTAGATGTCACAGTTGTTATGTGGTATTTTATTTAGATTTTCAAATATCATTTTCATTATTAATTAGATAATAATCTATTATAAATATTCAATCACAATCCAAATTCAGAGCCGTCTTAAGCTTAAATGTTGTGTCCATACTTGGTCAACTCTTCAGGGTTCGACCTCTGCAGGAAAATCCGGTTTGCTGTTACTCGACAGCCTCTTGTTATTCTTTACGATGAATAATCAAAGGGAGGATCACTGAAAAGACACATTTATTGTCGAAATGTGCATCTGGTGCATTAAAATTGGTACCGTTTATGATGTAAGTACCATGAGGTGTCAATACCTCTGCTGGTGGACTGTTAGTCCCGAGGGTATCACCTGCCCAGTAGCCAGTACTTCGGTACTGGCATGATAGTACGGATATTGTTTGATTAAAATTTGCTGTAATGAAAAAAATGAATTTATTTTAAATTAAGGAATATATCTCTCTCATGTAAAGCTCTGATTCCTTGTCCGCATTTGGCTATACTTAAGGTCCCTATGGCTTGATCCGCTCTTCAATATTTGTATTATATTTTTGATATTCGAATATTTTGGCATCGAGCATCACTAAAAAGACATTAATTGTCGAAAAACGCGTTTGTTGCATTAAAATGGATA